ATAACTCGTCAGAGACTGCATTTCTTAACTAAATACACTCAAACAAACCTTTACATATGCAGCCGTAATTTAATAAATAAATTCAAACGTTTTCGACCATATTCAATGGCCTTTATCAAGAAAAACTGAAAAATCGAACTTCGAATTAAAGATTTGCGTTACCGATACAAGCGTTATTTTTGGAACGTTTTTAAAAAGATATTCTATCGTATAAGCGCCATCTCTACATATTGGCTATAAATAGTTAAAATAATACCATTAAATACATTAAAACACAATAAAGTGTTAAAATAATGCCCGTAAATACATTAAAATACAATAAAGTGCACATAGAAACAAGAGTCAAGAGAGTTGCCGCTATGCTATGCATGTTCGCCATGCTGCCGATATTTTGCTTGCATCCCGGAAGTTGATAGCTAAACCTTTTTGGCTTGTTTTGCAGATATGCCAGGCTTCGGCGTAATATAGATATACAGAAGAATAGAACATGACTTTGTAAGGACAGTGGTTTGCAGAATATAAATCTTTTCTAATAAATAATAAGATAAACTAAAGTTTATCTTGTTAGAAAAGAGTTAAAGTTTATGGCAATTGTTGTTATTAGTAAGGTTATGTTTATTCTTAAGTTTAAAATATGCCGACAAAATCAAATTATGCAATTTACAGATACATATTTTGCAATTTTTACTGCACATCTTCACACTACAGAGATTGTTCCTAAGGCCTTGTTCTTTTCAAAGTGCTACTATCTATGTATAAATAAATGCTTCATCCCATTGATCCTGGGATCAAGTATGTAGTTGTGCTTATTGTGGCATTTACAATTTTCATTTCTTCACTTACGTATTGTCACGGCTATCTGACTCTTATAATTTTTTCTCTCCATCCTTGTTTTGTGCACTTGTTTTGTGTTCTAACAGCCTTGAAAATCATATTTCCATTCACTAGAAGGAAATATGATTTTCTAGAAAACTGTCATTATTATTTTAACTCCTTTCATAGATCACATGTGACCATTCAGGACCCAGTTCTTGATTCATCCCTGCTTTACCCAGTACCAATTATTAACTAAGATCATAGACCTTTATAATATTGTGTGCTTTAAATTACATAAACTTATATAAAGCAGGTCTCCAGAGCCTTCTATTGTTCTCATAACCTCTAAACCATTAGTGCATTACAGTTAGTTAGTTACTATCTAATGTTGGAATATTACACATAAGTTACAAAGTGTAAAATGTAAAATCAAAATACAATTGATATACTCTTATAACAAAGAAATAAAACAATATTTTTGTGTGAAATAGTTGAAATTTTTAACATTACTAACCAAAGAATTTTTCTAAAGATAATTCTCTTTCGTAATGTGAATACATGTAACACTTAACATCTGTTTGGCAAGTATCTTTGGTATAAATGTCCTCAAACAGTGCAAAGCTAAGAATAAAAAGTATTAGTTTACGTGAAAGATAAACTGTATGAATTTAAAGACTTTTATTTACATAATTTATTATGTAAATTTGCATATAATGTCTTATAATATTCGTAATTAATTTTCTAAACTATCATCACAGTTTAGACATTGAAGTTAAGCATGCTTGATGCAATTTTATCTCTAGTATCTGTAGAATTAATAGAGTTAAAATAGCATAAATTTCAAACTTATTTATATGCCTTACTTTTCATTTAAATCTTATATTTACTTTGGCAGTTCTTTCTTATTCAATTTTGAGGAATGAGGTTTTCCTGTGTGATATCTTTTATTATAAACTATTCTTATCAGACGTTAACGTCATAACTGTGTTTAGGATACCTCCCAGAAGAATAAATGTTGATATTTGGCAAGAGTAATATGAAGAAGAAATTTGCAAAACACTAAAAGAAACGTAATCAAAACATTTGAAGTAGGAATAAAAAAGAGTATTATAAATCAGTCGACCCCCCTATAACACTGTTGATTATTCCGTTTTATATGAATTCCATGTTGTACGAGTCACTTAGATTTTACAAATATGTGAGCCATTCACAGCCCGGCACAGGTATTTGTAAAATCGAAGTGACTCGTACAACATGGAATTCATATAAAACAGAAAAATCAACAGTGTTATAGGGGGGGTCGACTGGTATAACTTTTTTCATTCCATTTCCATGAGCACTTACATCTACAGGTGATAAAAGGGTCCATTTCTCATGTGGAATATTCAAGTATTAGGCTTTATACAGAGAAGGGATTGCTTTTTATCTGAAAATTGCTAACAATGAGGTAGAGAGTGTAAGCATTGATTGAGTGTAAGATTGCNCTAGCGGACATTTAAAATTTGCCGACTAGAACAATCGGTTAACCGAGGTGACGGTTAATCGGGGGTCGGATAATCGAGGCTCTACTGTATTCCTTAAAAGTTAAATTTTGTAATTTATATTTTTATAGGACTTAGAAGTATTTGATGATTGTTTACACAGAGACATAGAAAATCCAATAGTTTATTATAATGGACTTGAGGTAAGCTTTTATTATTGCACGTATATAAAATGAAAATAAGAAATTCTTTAAATAATAAATTGATAACTTTTATTTGTATTTTGCAGATTTGCATCATATTCGACTTATTAAATCTGTTTTATCCACAATTGTTCTGTGACAGAATTTCCAGCTAAATTTCGAATGTATACACGAATACGTGTGAAATTCTTTAAATTGAAAGATAATTAAAATCTTTAATGGAAATTAAAATTTCTCTTTTGTCTTTTATGCGTAATTGCTTACACCGAACCGTTCGACACGCGTTATTCTGACAGAAAATTCATTTGTTTCAAAATTTAATTCATATTTATTTATACAATACAATTTCGAAACTCTGAGAAAATAATATTATTTAAATTATGAAATTTCTTACGAATACAAATACACTTGGAATAGTAGAAGGTGGAGTGCCCGTACATTATAGCACAGTGGAAGCGTTGAACCATACATTAAAGTATCTTTCGTAATGTGTAATGCCCTCTTTACGCTCGCCATCCCCCTTTTTTTTATAGATGTCGGTGATTTGAACCCACTCGTTGAACCGTACGAACAATTTGGATAGTAAAGCAAAGTGTCCCAATATACAGGGCAAATATAGTCCCTATTGAAAGTACTGTACGTGAGAACTCTCCAATTTTCGCTAGAAGACGTGCTTTATCCTGTTATACTTACGTTGTCGTCACTTTTTCTTTTAACATTCCATATTTAAGTGATAGTACAGGGGCATCCTACTATTAATTAGCGTTAGAAAACAAGTCCATTATCTCCCGTTTGTAAAGGAATTTATCAATTAGATGACTTATTATGTGTTAATTGCATCTACTTTAGTACCTTTTTTTGCCTTTACGTTGTCTGTAACTTTTGACCAGGCCTAAATTTGTTTCAATTCTTTTAATTCTACTTAAGACGGTCCTGTATGTTAACGTTCTACTAATATGTTCCTTAAATGTGATAATTAGTATTTATACGGATCGTTGGACCAAGTTGGTATATACAGGGGAGCGTGCGACATTTTCGACACTTCTGTATGATCAAATCAGTAAAAGAAAGCACGTTTTTATGATTAAAAACATAAAAATTCCCAATATCATTTGTGTACAATCGTATCAATTTTCTGTACAATTTACAAAGAAAACATTGTATACAAGTTCCACAGAATTTATCTATTGTATAAGTATACAAGTGAGTTACTGGATCACGGCAAACAATATATGATTAAGTATAGTAAAATACCTTTAAACTTATACGCTAGCATAGTAAATGTATAGGTTAGTATCGAACTTAATTTAGTAAATAATCGAAAATTGATAAGTTAACGTGGGGGTTAACGAAGATATTTAAAAGCGATTAATGGAGAGCCAAGCATTTAAATAAAGCACAGACAATGGATTCGTATCGCCAGTAGAAGAGAAAGAGCAAGAGAGAAACGTCGCCCCATTCCACAAATAGTATCGAGTTGCAGTGGCACACAATAACCATTTCCTTTTCGGTCCGTCGCTCTCCCCCTTTTGTCACTAGGCCACACTTTCTTTCTTTCTAAACTTGAACCGTTCCGTTTACGCACTGCACTATGGGACAGACGGCCTTAGCCGCGCGAACGTAATGATGGCTCGACTAGTGCGACTCCTTCTACTGTTCCTTTTAACTTCCTTCTGTTACTGCAAGATACAAGAACAACCCTTCGAACGTGTCATAGAAGAGGTCAGTAGAAGGAAGCTAGAAGAGTTGATAGAGGAGGAGGAATTCTTATCCGTTTTCTTCTGTAAGTATAGCATCTTATGTTTACAACTTTTACTTTATGAAAGTTTTAATCAACCGGGCGCATGTGCCACGCTCGCGCTATTCTTGTAACATACATCTATCGCTTGGCATTCAACACCACCTTTCCATTTTTGGATCACACGCCCCGTCTGACGCTTTCTATCTCGCACACTCCTCTTAACGTCTAGTTTGTTAACGTCTGTGTCTTTATTATTCTATAAATGTATCACTCGATTTAAAGTTTACAGAAGAATCACCCTTAAAAAACACCTACTTTTTCGATACAACCTATTCTAAAATTCATTTGAATTTTTTTTAACCTTATAAAAATTAAACTGTCTGCACCGAATGCCGAGCCAAAATGCATACCTACCTTTTGTAGGATTGATCACTGTCTTCTCTTCTTACTACTGTACTAAATAACAGGAATAACATACAGATAACTGTTATTCCTGTCCTTTCTACCCTCTAATTATTGTAAAAATTCCCTAAAACAACCAGAAAAATATAATTTCTGAATACAAGTAAATTACTTCCATTAGAAAATTATTAAACACTAATTTTAACACCAAATGATTGTAGAGCAAAAACACCACTTCTAAATGTTACTCCTGACACATTTATTACTAATTGTAAAGAGCCAATTTATAGAGAAAATACTGTAGAATTCCACCCCAAATTTTACTCCTTCTTATCTTTAGCCTGGGGGGGGGAATTTGTTGTGTTTTGCATTTCATTATTGTAAATATATAGGTGGATAAATGTACATTTTAGTTGCCATAGCTATTGTTTTATATCACCCTCTCCCAATCCCTCACTTCCTCTCAAAAGCCTAAGAAATACAAGGCACACCCAGCTAGTAAGTGTACAAATATAGATATAAGAAGATTTATTCAACCAAAAATCACATACATTAAAAAGTTTTGTATACAGTTTCTTTATATAAGTTAAAGTTGGCTACATTTGTTTGTTATTTTAGTAATAGACATTTATGTATTTAAAAAATATAGAGCATATGTATTTAAATTAGCAGTTATTTATTCCCAAAATTTAATTAATAATCATTTTACAGATGTATGAAAAATGTGACTGTATAACTTACCTTTACTTGTTTACTAAAAGAAAAGAACACTTGTAGTATGTTTTGCATCTATTGTGACCCAGTGCGGTAACTAGTCTGTAACTACGCCGCAAAACTACGACCCAAAACTTGGTCCGAGTCATTTCTGCACCCCTCAGGGTCTGCACTCTGTGCCTGGGCACCGGCCTAGTTACGGCACTGTTGTGACCCTCATTATTTTAAAATTAGTAAATTGTGATTTAATTTCCTTACATTTTTCATACCTTTTTCTAGTCTAAGTACTTACCTTCTACCTTTTTCAATTATACTTAAGAATTTTGTTATAATATTTCAAAAAATTTTAAAGCTTAATCTTAACATAATGGCTTTATCATCTGTTAATGCCATATTAATAAATGTTTGATGCTAAAATCTATTGTCTAAAATCTAAAGTCTATTGTTTAAACTTCCTACAGTTGCCTGGTCTTTAAACTAGTACTTTATATATTCGTAGAATTGCTTAATCTTTAAACTGGACCATTACAATACCCTAAAGCTGTGTAGTTTTTCAATTGGTCTAGAGTTGTGTATCCTGGATATGTCTGGCCCTCTGCCACTCATTCAAACCCATTGTGAGCCTGACTAACCCACAGCCTTTTTTTCATGCCCTTCTACTAGAAAAACTTTGTTTATATATAAAAATTTAAATATTTTCATCTGTTTCTTGTCAGATAATTAAGTTATAGGGAAAATTTACAATTTCCTCCTTTACTCCTCCTAAAAACAATGATATTACAATGACATAACTATTTTTAATATATAAATAAACAAGTAGAGAAGTGTTTTCCTCGTGTATTTTACCAAAAGCTGGATTACACGCATTCGGCCGTACCTCAAAGAAATTTGTTTACTACTTACTTTTTAAATTTAACCTTCAAGGTGCTTAACTTGGAGGAATGTGTTCTATTTATTTATTAACGTATCTGTTAAATGACTCCTTATGCTTAAAATTTGCACATAAATGTTGCTACGTAACAGATTTATTCATAATTCTATGGAGGGATTTCTCATTAAATATAAATTTATTTTAAGATTATTCATCACAGGGTAGCAGCTACAGATCAGAGTGACAATTGACTATAAGCTAGTGTCTCATGCACACTCTTATTGTGGCTCCCATATATTAGATTCCTAGCCCGGTTAGGGACTTATTACTAGCACAAATAGACTTTGATGCTATCCCTTTCTCTATATATACATAGTATACAGGTTATATATAAAATACTGTGCTAATATAGAATGTGGTTCTCATATATACGTATATGTATAAGCACAGTCAAACATTTTATAGTAATTAGTTACTCTTGTGTTTTCATAAGATTTTAGTGGAGGTTCATCATGTATCAATATAATCTGTGTTTTATGAAATTTGATAATTAATTAATCCTCATTGCAGGGGTGGATCTACATAGGCACTAATAGGGCTTAAGCTCTGGTCTTCCAAGTATCAAGAGCCCATAGAAATTGAATTATTATTATTAAATTTTTAGTACTTTTTCATTAACAATGAGCACTTATTGTATAGTAAAAAGTAGTTAATATTAATAATGATAATTTATAGTATTGATTGTTTTATTGTAATCAATGTAACCTAATTTGTCTGTAATTAATCAATGTAATTATTTCTGTATTTCTTATGTTTTTTTATGTAAGATTTAAAGTTTGTCATTCAACACCATTTCGTGTTTCAGATAGGAATGACTTTACCAGAGCAAAAAGAGTATGTCCAACTGTAAAGTGCGTAACTTACACACACATATTTTCTAGATACAGTAACAGAGCAACATAATCCGCTTCTTTATGTTACATAAGCATGTGATTGGAAGCCACTCATGTATTAAATATAAAAAAATTAAGTCTCTCACATCCTTCTTTACTAGATTAAGATTTCTTGTTTAACCTTAATCTGTCAATTCCCAGCAGATGTTTCATATTGCCAATAGGTCCAAATGATACAACAGAAGCAATCTAAATATACACTTCATTACCTCACTCAGTTGTATGTTTTTATTATAGAAAGACAGCCAAATTGATCCTTCCAATGACAAATTTTTGACTTTTATATAGAAATTTTTCCTTCTTCCTTACTTAGTTAATTCTTCTTTATATCTGAAAAAGAAAGTAAATTTTAAAGACATTAACTTAGTAGATAAGAGATAAGAATGTGTGCTGCTCACTAAAAATTCCATTTTTATACATGGTGAAATGTCATTTGCGTCTAGACTGGTGATATATTTTGTGTAGATTTAAATTTTGGACGTGGTACAATTTTCATTTATTAATTGTGTGATTCATACAGTTAGAAGTTAACTCCTACGTACCCAAAATAACAGTATCGTCAGACATTCTAATTTCATCAAGAAGCTGAAATGTTTACCTGTACGGTAAAAGTAGCAATGTAGAATATTTACCTGTTTAACATTACTGTATACGCTTACTTCAATAGGCATAAAGGAACCTTCTTTATCCTCCCTAAGTATAGACATACTTAGGGAAAATAAAGAAGGTGTCTGTCTCCTCTTAACAAAATATATACAGTAGTGGCCAAAAGTAGAGCTTCTGATCACTGCATCACATCTACATTCCATTGAATCAATTAAGTTGTAAGCACTGATTGGGAAATTTCATACCATGCTCTTTCAATGGCAGGCCACAATTCATCCAGATTCGAATATGTACACTGGCATATACTGTGCTCAACTTCATTCCAATGATTCTCTATGGGGTTTAGATCTGGAGATTGGGCTGGCCATGTCATAAGATTCATCTTCTTCTGTTGAAACCATTACTTTACTAAATTTACTGTATGTTTTCGTTCATTGTCTTGTTGGAAGATCAATCATCCCCTTGACATTGAATGACGTGCATGAGGAAGCATTTGATTCCACAATATATCACAATAAATGGTTCTATTAATTCTATGAATTGGACTAATTCTCTTTTCAGAGAAACATCCCCATACCATTATGCAGCCACCACCATACTTTATTATAGGAACTGTGTATTTGGGGTCATATCTCATGTTCACTGGTCATCTGACATATCATACACCATCACTAGAGAAGACATTGAATTTAGATTTAGCAGCACTTGTATGCACGATCAAATGATCTAACTGTGGTGTTGTTTTTTGTGGTGTATCTGACTTTTTCACAGAAACAATGATTCCATACATTTGAAAACTCTTCCCCCTTTCGAGACAACAGTTTTATGCACATTAAAGATTTTAACAATTTCAGCAAAGGTCTTTTTTTCCTTCAAATGCATATCTACCATTCTTTGTTTGATATTTGATAATTGTATTCCTNCTAAGGCCTTGTTCTTTTCAAAGTGCTACTATCTATGTATAAATAAATGCTTCATCCCATTGATCCTGGGATCAAGTATGTAGTTGTGCTTATTGTGGCATTTACAATTTTCATTTCTTCACTTACGTATTGTCACGGCTATCTGACTCTTATAATTTTTCTCTTCATCCTTGTTTTGTGCACTTGTTTTGTGTTCTAATAGCCTTGAAAATCATACTTCCATTCACTAGAAGTGCTGCTAGAAGCAAAGGTCTTTTTTTCCTTCAAATGCATATCTACCATTCTTTGTTTGATATTTGATAATTGTATTCCTCGAGGCATTTTGTTATATTTCTTATAAAATCACTCTTCGTCCAACTGATTATGTTTCATATGTAAAAGGTATCTCTACTTTTGGCCAGTACTGTATATATGTATGTATGATCTATAGAAATTTTATGTATAACTCCTGACGTCTCCTAAAAATGTCACTCGGATATGCTGCTGCTTACCTATACAACAGTAAAAGCTTATTAACTCTATTGGAATTACTTACCTGCATGGTGGAATGATTCAATAGTGCAGGTAAGCAAATTCAAGATCATTAACAGATAACAGCATAGAATATTGATTTTCCTTTATTTTCAATTGTTCGATATCAGATTTTAATATGAGGAGAGAGAGTAAAATATTCTAAACAGTATTCTTGAAATACCTTAATACCGATAACAAGCATTAATACTTGGCAAGGAATCATTCTACTGTAAAACCTGCGATCTTTAAAGATAACAGAAATTATCTTTTGGATCTTGAATGCGAACACAAGAATGTAACTAAAATTAATTACAACATATGAATTACTTTACATTCTTTTCTAATCAACATCAATCTTTCTGAGAAACTGATGTAGATCTATAGAATTGGAGGATTTTTTTAAAAAATATCACTGTTAATTAACTATATTATTAGATATAATTAATTAGGAGTTTATTCCTAAAATACTTCCTTGATATACTTTATTTGCATACACATCCAAACCCTTTGCATCTCTATGTACTGTACATATCCTTCATATCCCCATGCATAAATCAGTATTTTAACATACATTTAGAGTAATTTCAGAAAAATAATGATGCGATTAACTAACATTTTATACTTGGAATGTTTTTCCCACACATTATAACTAAGATACATTGAAAGAAGTTAACAGAATTTTAATCTAATGATGCCAGAATCATCCCAAGAATACAAGAAGCTTTGCCAAATTCTATTAAATTTTAATTATGAAAGACTAATTTAATCATTCAGATAGTTAATTTTGTGTTTTTAATTTTTGGATTCAGGACATTGAAACATTGGAAAATGCAAAAAATTGGGGTTTTTTTTGTATGTATGAATGATTGTTAGAAGAAATCATGATCTTGTTCATTCAGTTTGAAGCTTAATAACTTCTGTATCTTCTGCCAAAATTTGCTGAAATTACGCAGGGAGATTTGTGTACTAAGGTTATTGATGCTGTTAAATTTCGGTGCTTATAGGTCAAGGAGGTAGGGAGATAGAGGGGGGATCACTTGTCGGTGGAGTGTGGTCAGATTTAATAAAGATTTTATGCCTTCAAATTTTAGCTATTCGCCATTTTATAATTAATACATAAAAAGTTTTTTAAAAAATCTCATAGCAGATGATACCATACATAATTTTAAACTTTGGCTTGAAAAAGTTACGCAACTTATTGCCAGATTTTTTGCTACATTAATCTGGGACTATAAAATGATGTTGGTTGCCAATTAAATTACAGGAAATTTATAAGTAATGTAGTTTTGTAAGGAAACAAAGTACTTTCAAGGGAGATAGCTTTATAAGTAATATAGATATACAGAAGAATAGAACATGACTTTGTAAGGACAGTGGTTTGCAGAATATAAATCTTTTCTAATAAGATAAACTAAAGTTTATCTTGTTAGAAAAGAGTTAAAGTTTATGGCAATTGTTGTTATTAGTAAGGTTATGTTTATTCTTAAGTTTAAAATATGCCGACAAAATCAAATTATGCAATTTACAGATACATATTTTGCAATTTTTACTGCACATCTTCACACTACAGAGATTGTTCCTAAGGCCTTGTTCTTTTCAAAGTGCTACTATCTATGTATAAATAAATGCTTCATCCCATGGATCCTGGGATCAAGTATGTAGTTGTGCTTATTGTGGCATTTACAATTTTCATTTCTTCACTTACGTATTGTCACGGCTATCTGACTCTTATAATTTTTCTCTTCATCCTTGTTTTGTGCACTTGTTTTGTGTTCTAATAGCCTTGAAAATCATACTTCCATTCACTAGAAGTGCTGCTAGAAAACTGTCATTATTATTTTAACTCCTTTCATAGATCACATGTGACCATTCAGGACCCAGTTCTTGATTCATCCCTGCTTTATCCAGTACCCATTATTAGCTAAGATCATAGACCTTTATAATATTGTGTGCTTTAAATTACATAAACTTATATAAAACAGATCTCCAGAGCCTTCTATTGTTCTCATAACCTCTAAACCATTAGTGCATTATAGTTAGTTAGTTACTATCTAATGTTGGAATATTACACATAAGTTACAAAGTGTAAAATGTAAAATCAAAATACAATTGATATACTCTTATAACAAAGAAATAAAACAATATTTTTGTGTGAAATAGTTGAAATTTTTAACATTACTAACCAAAGAATTTTTCTAAAGATAATTCTCTTTCGTAATGTGAATACATGTAACACTTAACATCTGTTTGGCAAGTATCTTTGGTATAAATGTCCTCAAACAGTGCAAAGCTAAGAATAAAAAGTATTAGTTTACGTGAAAGATAAACTGTATGAATTTAAAGACTTTTATTTACATAATTTATTATGTAAATTTGCATATAATGTCTTATCTATTCGTAATTAATTTTCTAAACTATCATCACAGTTTAGACATTGAAGTTAAGCATGCTTGATGCAATTTTATCTCTAGTATCTGTAGAATTAATAGAGTTAAAATAGCATAAATTTCAAACTTATTTATATGCCNTTTATTTACTGTTTGTTTTTCTTTCTTAATGTTCAAGTATCCAGATATTTAATTTGTAAAATTGGCATTTCAAATATATTTTAGATGACGTAGAAATTAATAATGCCTACAGGAGCAATACGACACACTGCAGCTGTAAGGAAGACTGTCGATTTGGCAAATTTTCTGCATTCCAACGTACTGTAATCACTCCTACTCTGCAGCATCATTTCTTGTAGACATCTGATACTGTACTTGTATATTCAAGAATTCTCGTAAATTGAAAAATATACACTTTGTTCTACATTTGACCATCAAATTACAATTCCACTAAGTTTACATTTAAGAAAAATATACACTTAGATACAAATAAGTCGAAGTAGTAAATTTATCAGACTGCTCATTTGAAGGATCAAAGTCCTATCTCAGATGTTTGTTTGTTCATTGCATCTGGTCAGACAAATTTGTTGTTTCCTGGCTACCTGAATAGTGAATCTGGTCAAATGGCATGAAGCTATTCAAATACAGTCGAACCCCCTATAACACTGTTGATAATTCCGTTTTATATGAATTCCATGTTGTACGAGTCACTTAAATTTTACAAATACGTGAGCCATTCACAGCCTGGCACACGTATTTGTAAAATTTAAGTGACTCGTACAACATGGAATTCATATAAAACGGAATTATCAACAGTGTTATAGGGGGTTCGACTGTATTTGAATAGCTTCATGCCATTTGACCAGATTCACTATTCAGGTAGCCAGGAAACAACAAATTTGTCTGACCAGATGCAATGAACAAACAAACATCTGAGATAGGACTTTGATCCTTCAAATGAGCAGTCTGATAAATTTACTACTTCGACTTATTTGTATCTAAGTGTATATTTTTCTTAAATGTAAACTTAGTGGAATTGTAATTTGATGGTCAAATGTAGAACAAAGTGTATATTTTTCAATTTACGAGAATTCTTGAATATACAAGTACAGTATCAGATGTCTACAAGAAATGATGCTGCAGAGTAGGAGTGATTACAGTACGTTGGAATGCAGAAAATTTGCCAAATCGACAGTCTTCCTTACAGCTGCAGTGTTCGTATTGCTCCTGTAGGCATTATTAATTTCTACGTCATCTAAAATATATTTGAAATGCCAATTTTACAAATTAAATATCTGGATACTTGAACATTAAGAAAGAAAAACAAACAGTAAATAAATGTCACCAGAAAAAAACTACATTATTTTTATGAGGTATTATATACTAAACTATAAGAGAGTTAGAAAGCCACTTAACTACTAAAATAGCATAGATGTAATTCTGAACTTTCTGGGGTTCCTAAGTCTGAAAAACTTTACAATTTTTATGTATTTCTATATGAGGATTCTGAGGATTTCTAAAGCATGTCCTAATGATTTTTAAATTTGATAATCTTAAATTCTTAGTATCAGAATTCCTAAATTTGAAGATCCTAACGATGCAAAGAAGTAGTAAAGACAAGGGCTTCTTAAGCCCTCTTCCTGAACACACAGAAATAAAATTTATATTGACAAATATGGCTTTAAGGACCATCTACAATATAATCATCTCACACGTGTTAAAATATACTTCTGGACCCACCACTGATCCAGAGGATTCTTTGGCTTTGAAGATGGCAACAGTCGAAGAACAATGATCCTAATGATTCTGAAGAGTCCTAAATCTGAAGATCCTAACGATTTTCGAGATTCCTAATTGATGAGCTGAAGGATTCAATGAATTGCTAAGTCTAAAGATGCCCACAACTCTGAGTCAATTACAATGTTTAAGTATAGACTTAGAATACTAGAACTTAATTTAGAAGTTCGAATTACACCCTTTCGGACTGTTTATTTAATGATAAACTCCGATCTAAATCGATGCTGCTAAACAAAGGGATTAAAATAGAACAATGTCTCACCGTTAATGAAAGTTCTTCTATTCGTGTTAACCTTCGCCGCATCGGCTCCAATGCTCCTAGCTTCCTATATGGGAGTTGTATTTTACCATAGAACCTGAGGAAGGTAAAATAAATTAATTAAAATCTTAAGTCATACCCGTAGTGTATTTTGCCACCATAAATTCGAAACGTATTGTATGTCATCTGTCAAAATTAATGCATTTCTATTGGGTAATCCGAAAACTTTTGCGGGTATCGATAAGGGAAACATTGAATGATCTTTAAATGAATAAAGTCGATGAAAAGGTAGAAAAAGTTAAACTTGGCACGAACAAAGAATGAATCTAGAACACACTTTCTTCAAACTTTTAAAAAAAGTGCCTTGTTATGTAGTCAAATGCCAAGAAAATCTGTACTGTCTGCACTCGTTAAACAATCCCCACAGTCATTGTAGACTATGTTAAACATTGTATAAATACTGAATAAATCTAGATATTTGAATCACTTTGAATTAATTCATTCTTTACTTATAATATGATAATCTTAAGAGCGTTGTAAGGCCACTTAATCACCATGTTAAAGGCAAAAATAGTTACAAAGTGGGTGCATTCGTATGGTGTAGGCAATTGTAGAGATCGTGTAACACAGGCTATTTACTTTGGCACTACTTGGAATATACGCACGACATACACGTATCTTAATAAAACATAATTAATCATTTAAAATTTAGTTTCCTGGTGATAAAATATATACAATGGAGTGGAGTTGTCTAAGAATAGATCACACGCTGCACGTTATCTTCTAGCAGAATAGAGCTAAGATTAACTTTAGAAAGAATAGTTCATAGACAAAGGGTGGAAGGAAAGTAGCGTGTGTTTCTGACCCCGATACAGTGTGGAAGAATGATATTATAATCTTAAATTTTTTTCTATAATTATTACCGAAATCTTTAACTTTTCTTAATGTAAATTCTTTTGACAGATACTAAAAAATGTGCGGAGTGTGACCAAGTACTCGAAGAATTAGAGAAAATTAACGAAGAAGCTGAAAGTTTCGGAATCAAACTTGTTAAAAATAGTGAAAGAGTCACAGCAAAAAAATATGGTGGATCCACACTGCCAGCTCTTGTTTATTTTAGAAATCAGGAACCAACCGTATATGACGGTAAGTAAATTTTTAAATTATTTGTATCATATTTCAAAAGAAAAAAGTGACAATTCGTATTTTGAATATTCCAAAAAAGAAAAAAAATGGGAGTTTTTTGGGGGGTGAAATTTATGTAACTTTATGAATGACCTTGGTGTTGCAGACTATAAAATGCTCGTTACACTTTGGAAAATTTACCCTAACTTTTTTTCTTGGAGGATTTCCAGCTGCTGTCTCGAAAATTGTGACGAGACTTTAATTTTTCCGAGGACGTGTTCCCGTCTAGTCAGCACTCATTCTGCTAACTCCCTTTTATTTCTCTTGATTGACACACATCAACACGTGTTTTAAGAAATATGACGTGACAAAATAAAAGCAATCTTTATGATCTCGTCCCTTTTTTTCATAGACTGTCACTTAAATCAACTTTCGTTTCTTTCTGTGTAGTAGAAATGGGCATATTTAATCATTGGTGTTGTAAGCACTCGAGGATCCATAAGTGGAATCGTGTGCATACAGTTATTTATTTGTATATTTACTAATAAATAACTGTATGCACACGATTCCACTTATGGATCCTCGAGTGCTTACAGCACCAATGATTAAATATGCCCATTTCTACTACACATAAGTGGAATCGTGTGCATACAAGTCGACCCCCCTATAACACTGTTGATTTTTCCGTTTTATATGAATTCCATGCACGAGTCACTAGATTTTACAGATACGTGTGCCGGGCTGTGAACGGCTCACGTATTTGTAAAATTCAAGTGACTCGTACAACATGGAATTCATATAAAACGAAAAAATCAACAGTGTTATAGGGGGTCGACTGTACTTATAAGCCCTCGAAGAAAATTAATTATTCCATAAATGTAGTAGTTATGTGTAATGTGCATAAATTTATAGTCTAATTTAGAATTACGTAATGTGCAAACGTAATATTTAAATTTATTTTTTTCTCCTCGAGGAGATTTACTGGACGAAGGGAATGTGTTGGCCTGGTTGACGAACATAGATTCCTTAGAACTACCTGACGCCATAGAAGAAGTGAATGCAAAAATTCTTAAGAACATAATTGATGAATCTGACTATGTAGCAGTGCTTTTCAGTGAGTATTTTCTTGTATATATATATATAATATTTTATGTAATACTTAAAAACACACAATCATATATGTGACGTTTTGTGTATAAGATACTGTAAAAATTGTAGTGTATGATCTACACATAAGCACGTACAGAACTTGAATAGGATCAAATTTAGTTACACCACATCGCTATACGTGGGAGATCCTGTAAAATGTTCTGTTTTTCTTATCAAATTTAATGTAGAAGGGGTGAAATTCTTCATTCAGCCTTCGTTATAAAACAGTAAAAGGTAATTTCGGATGGCTTAAATATGCCAAATAGTTTATAAATAGCCGTATAAATGAGTTATAAAATTAGAATTGAAACTGGCACCCGAAACTGAGGTCGTTCAACTGTTTCTTACTTACCCACTTTTTTTGTATCTACTGTAAACAAGACACCATAACTTCCATCAACATGTCTGTTGCAGCATCTATGAGGAATTAATACTAGAAAACAAAGATTTTATGTATAATCGAGCGCTTCGAAGCTTGCAATACCGAAGGAAAAAAGTCAGAATTACAACATCTGCAGATACTTAACTGTTAACAGCGTACTGCTGATTTCCCTTCGGAGGAAAGCTTAAAATGTGTCAATTCTTGTGCCAAGTTCTCGTGTCTCATTTGTCATTTCGTGTATTAGAATATTTCTAAGTGTTCTTTTTTTTTAATTTGCATATTTATCAAATCACTTGTCACGTAGAAGAAAGTAAACATTCAAGAGAAATGACAGATTTTGATTTATAGTTACAATAAATTCTTAGGTTTAGTTAAATGAGTGAACGTTTCTCAAGCTTCTGTATGGCTTTATGGGGTAAATTTGATTTAAATTTTAGTTTAAATGTATATTGTTTGTATTAGAATTATGGAAATATGAATAATTTTGCATATAGTATCATGTCTTCAAGCTATACGTTCGCACTTATAGCAATACATCGCTCTAACTTATGCTCATCTTAGTTGTTATTAAGGGCAAGTAATAAAGTTATTTTAATCCACAGTTCAGCCCATAAAATTTAAACTGGAAGAATACCAAATTACTTAAATTCAAGATCAGTTTTGTTGTAGTTTGTGTAGAGCTGCAGCAAATGCAATGTAAAGAATTTCAGTTAAGTTTACTCAAAATCCATTCCAAGATCTTAAGAATTCTAACTGATCTAATTTGCACCCATTGGTATAATAATATAAAATTATAGTACTGAGTACTAGCGAATGGGATTTGTAACAATTTCTTGCAAAATCAGCAGAATATAAAAAAGAAATTGTTTTGTAGTCTGCATGGGAAGGATCTTCTTGGCAACAAATCCCTGTTTTTTTCTACCTGCCAAGAAAGTTTTGCAAACATGACAGATTTAAAATGCAATTTTAAGAAAGAACGACCGTGAAGTGTCAATTATTAGCTCTAAACTGTCACACGAAACAAACGAAGATTGTTTTTTTTTTTGTTTTTTTTTTATATTGCAATATTTCGTGTGTCTGTCTGTCACACTATACACAAATGTAGAAATTTCACATATATATTCTCTATCAAGTTTGATACTAAAAGCTTGCCCTTAAATAGAAAAAAATTGCCTTTTTTTCTTGATGAAACTTATACTTTTATTCCCATACTTAAGTTATGGCAACGCAACACTTGGGCGATGCCTTCCCTTATTTAGGGGAAGGCATCCCCTGCCTAGGGGTTGCCTTCCGGGAGATCTTTCTAAGGGAAACTGACCCCTATTTAGGCGTTACAGACGTGGAGAAAACTCGAAAAACTCCACGTGGCCAGCCCGTCCGATACAGGGTCGTACCCACGACCGAACTCCTAGTGTTCAGGGTACGAAGACCGCTCGGCCACTGTGGGCCTCCGTGATATGTGGCTTGTAATTTAATTTTTTAAAATAACTTTCCTCATTATAATGATAAATGTCTTAATGCCGTTTGCAAGGATCCAACTTTTGATACTGTAAATTGTAAATACAGCCATAAATCAGTATATTGCATAGCCTCGTGTATCGTTGTAAACCACTTGAAAATTTGCATAAAGAAGCTCTGTATCGAGAAATAGAAACTGAATAAAGGGTTATACATCTGTACAGTTTCTGTATTTATATGCGTTTATTTGCGTAATAATCCCCTCAAATTGCAATAAAGAATTAATTGTACATATTGTAGTTATCCTAATTACTTAAAACTATATATTAATTTAAAAATATAATTATTATTTCAGTTAGAGATAATTGTAAAGAGTGTGAAATGGTCCTTCACGAACTGGAAGACATAGACGACGAGGCGGATTCGAACGGAATCGGTTTCGTTAAAATCAACGACAAGAGTTTAGCATCAGAACTCGGAATTAAGAAAATACCCGCATTAATGTATTATCAGAATAAAGTCCCAACGTTATATACGGGTAAGTAAACGATCTTTTCCTTTATAAACCATAAGAATTTTTAAGTAATAGAAGCTTCAATTTATGCTTCAGGCGATTTAGAAAATGAAAGGAAAATCCTCCGATGGCTCATCAGATTAAAGAAAGGTTTAGAAGATACCGTTATAGAAGAAGTTAATGGAGATTCGCTCAACGATTTAATCCAAAAGGAACCATTTTTGGCAGTTTTAGTTTGTAAGTAATTCCTTTTTTTTCTATATCACTAATACAGAATAAACTGTATCGGAATTGCAAGATCAAGATCCAAAGAGAGAATCTTCATCTTGCAATACGATATTCTAGTTTCTAGAATTTGAAATTCCTAAGAAGTATCAAAAATGGAGGTATATAAGTTAAATTCTCGTGAAATATTTCAATTAGAATGAAATTTTATAGCTAGGAAACTAATACGTTACCTGCCATTGTTGTTAAAGGATTATAGCTATTTGTGTATTGAAATTTCTATACCTTTAGGTACTTCTTATTGCTATTACTACAACAGTAATAAATCAGAAGTAGAATTTCACTATTTTCGAACAGTTTTAAGCCATTAAAATCGAAATAAAATCACACGTTTATTCATTTAAGCATCATGGAAGAGTAACCATTATCCTTGACACATTGAATTACTTAAAAATTAATTAATACGTCCTGCATAACTTCTAGCCAGGTTAATATGTTTGCTTATCTTTATAAATATATACTACAGCTGTAGAAAATTCTCTAGGATGAGACCTTGATAGTGAATGTTGAAGGTAACAAAAAATCAATTTGGGAAAACTGCCAACACTTGAAACGCTTCCTTTCGAGAGAACAGGAAGCTGTGTTAAATTTTAAAAAATTAATTTCTTATTGTAGAAAGGTCAATCCAACTGTTCTACCTGAACGGAGACGAGCCCTAATGTATATTGATTTATCTAAAAGAATCCTTTTATCTTTCTGTTAACCGTTCCATGAATGGAAGCAGAAGTCTCGTATAGCAATAATGGAAGCATAAAATCTGTGGTTTTATTGCTTCCAATTACAAGAACAAGCAGAAGTTATTTGTATATTCACTTTAAAACAACTAAGAAGTGAAATCATTTTGGGGTATTTTGCTAGATTCCTTCACCCTCAAAGTAAAGAAATCAAAATTTTGGCCAACCTTCTTCAATTATTGATTAAAAAAGAAAGAAAATTGCTTGTTCCACTCGAAAAACGACGATGTTAAGATAACTATACTCATATTGACCCACTCCCAGTCAGAAATCATTTGGTCTAACTCTAACCTTGCTCTTACAAGATAACAATTTGGAAAGGATCCAGAAACAATCCAGTAAACACGTGGCAGTATCGGTAGTGTTAATAAATCTCTCAATTTACATCATAATTTTGAAGAAAAATGCATGCTTTTGAGTTAAATTAAATATTCATTATATAAAACACTATAATAAACTTTATTTTTCCACATATTTGGAGTGAATTATGTGAATTTTATGACAGATATGCTTAATTAGCATGTCTTATATTAAACCATTACACGTGAAGAAGTAAGTATTGCTTGTTCATGTGCAATGGTTTGAAGTAAGGCATGTGCAAAGTTTGATAAAACTTTTAGTATTTAATTGCATTAAATTAATTAAAATTTCATTTAAAAATTAATCTGTATTGCAGACGATCGGACGAGCGATAAAAGCAAAGCAATATTACAAGAACTGGAGAAAATCGATGACGAATCAGACATTCCAATTGTTAAGATTAACGACGAGAAACTGGTTGATAAATATGGCTTGGATTCGCTACCAGCACTTATATACTTCGAGAAACAAATTCCAAACTTTTATCAAGGTAATTACTTCGTTGTGTTTTCTAACAGTCATTGCTCTGTTTGCTCACACTCGTTATGGCACACTAAAAAAAAAGATGATTTTGTGTTGCACATTACAATTGTAAAGAGGAGAAATTAATTAATAAACATAACTTCGATAGTAATTTATACCAAGATGAGTAAACACGCAAAACAAACAGCACTGTTATAACGTACTAACGCTCTTCGTCGTATTGCTTCTGTGCTTTACAAGTATATAAAGGCTATAAATTTAATATAATAATACCTTATCGAGAAGCACAATAAGCATCTAGCATTGTGTTTTTATGCAGATTTCAGAACAATATATACCTATAAAAGAAATGATTCTTTTACGACATGATTGGTACTCTCAAAACACCATTTATTGTTTGAATAATAAACAGAACAGAGCATATTCTTCATCAAAACTAATGTTAAACAATTTTAATTATAAACAGACGTATTTCACGGTACGAATTACTAATTTCAGGTGATTTACTGGAAGAGAACGAAGTCCTTAATTGGTTGACGCAACAAAAAGAATCTGACGAAATCGAAGACGTCACCGACAAAGTATTAGAGCAGATGATTGAAACTTCCGAATGTGTTGCCGTTTTATTTTGTACGTTCATATGACATTGATAAGCTCCGTAAGCATTCAAATAATCATAATAGATATTTATAGAACTTGAATTTATTATTTTACATAGGAAAATAGACAATTTCTGATAACTTAGAAAAGACATATTGTAATTAATTGTGTATATTAAATGAATGCTTAATATTTTCAGACGATGGTAAGGCTGAAAGTAAGAAAGTCCTTCAGGAACTGGAAGCCATTGACGACGAAGCGGACCATAATGGCATTCCATTTGTTAAAATTGACGACGACAAAATTGCTGCTAGATACGGTATTTCTAAAGTACCGGCTTTGGTCTATTTCGAGAAGAAATTTCCAAATATATACCAAGGTAAGTGTAAAGTAATACTCGATAAAAACTTTGTGATGTTCTCTGTATTACATCATAAAAGTTGCGTGGAATTCGTGAATATGCACTAAGCACTTTATCAAGAAATATAAGTACTGTACTCCTTATAATGCCAATAATACAAAAGTTTGCTTGGAATTTTCATTTGTAAAATATTTTTGACAGTAAGAGCCAGGGAAGTCAAGGTCATTTCTCTGAGATCCTAGTCTTTCCTATATGTTCTTGATCCTTCTGAGATTGTCGTCTTTCCTACATGTTCTTGATCCTTCTGAGATCTCTCTTCTTTCCTACATTTCTTGATCCTTCTGAGATCTCTCGTCTTCCGTGTGCCCAAGATCTTTCTGGGGTTTTCACTCTTCCTGCTCTCTAGCCTATATCTCAATGGGCATTTATCCTTTTAGGAAATTGATACAGTATACTGGGTTCTGAGCCGAACAAACAATTAATAAATAATGAATGTATATTGGCTGCTATCCACTCGAATTGAAATTTTATTTTCGGTTCTGTATCTACCGATCGCCACACTTTTAAAGTATGGCGATCGGTAAAAATTGACCATCCAGATTTATATATTTTTGGACTCAGGGTCCTTTCAAACATCAAGAAATGCAAAAAGATTGGGGATTTTTCTGTATGAATGGATGTTAGTGTGCGTATTTTTGTGTGTGGTGCGTGGGTACGACTTTTTTTTATCCATTTTGAAGCATAATAATTGTCAAACATTTCTGAATTTTTCCAAGGAGAATTGTGTATTATGGGTATTGATGCTATTAAATTTTGGTGTTTAATAATCGAGGGGATGGGGACGTAGACGGGTCGCTTGTCGTAATTTTGAATGGAGTCGGACTTAATAAAGATTTAGTCCTTATTAGCATTGACAAATTATACGAAACTCATCTCCATTCTCAAAATTAAGCATTTTGCCATTTTATAATAATTAATAATATAAACATTTCATAAGTTAAAGTTTATTGCGGGAAAGTAATGCAACTCGTTACGGGGTATTCTACAATTAGAATTGCTTTTCAGATCAAATTTTCTTGAATCACTTACTAACGGAACACGCTGTAACATTGAGTTAATTCAAATTTCTGAATAAATTCAACTAGTCGAGCCAAAATCTAAGTAGTATTGGCTTTGGCTCAACTAGCGGAATGCCAGTATAAAGCTAGTTTGTAAATGCTTGTGCTTCAATTCTATCACCTGACATTCCATTTTTGCATTGTAGAAGATTTCGCTAATTAATTTAAATAATATTTTCTGATTTTTTCAAATTTCTAGACCATATAGGGTGCATAGCAAAGTTCAGAGTGCTCTTCAACTTTGTAATTTAATTTTTTCCCGTGTGGTGCGTTATTTTTGCGTGATAACTTTCGAGTTTAGCCTTTAGGGGTGATGCAAGAGGACTCATCAGTTTACTACAACTATGTCTCATGTTCACAACTGTATCTACCTAAGTTTACTTGGGTATATAAGGGCTTTACTGTACATCCTGTACATGCTTCCATTAAAATATAAACTAATCTAGCCAAAAATACAGGTGTTAAGTGATATATCAAACTGCCATTTCTTTCGATCTTAATAGGAGACCTGACTGTCGAAGAAGACGTGTTAAAATGGTTGGTAGATCAGAAGTCATCCGATGAAATCGAAGACGTATCTGATAAAATTCTTAATGACATGATTAAAACTTCGAAATTCCTCGTCGTACTCTTTTGTAAGTAGCTTTATCTCAAGATAAATTTCAAAAAATGTTCAGAAATTTCCTACAAAAATTAAATTTTCAGATGATAAAGACAATAAGAAATGCTTAGACGTCATTAAAGAGTTGGAAAATATTGACGACGAAGCGGATAAGAAGGGTCTACCTTTCGTCAGAATCGATGATGATAAAGTAGCCAAACAATTTGGAATTTTAGACGAACTTCCCGCTTTAGTTTATTTTGAGAAACAAATTCCAAGTATTTACCAAGGTAAGGTTTAGTTTTGCTAAGGTTTATGATCGTTTTTCAACAAAGAAAAGCTTTACTGAATCATACTCTCAGCAAAAATAGTATCTAACATTGATAAGTTCTATCTCTGTTAAAAATTAAGATGGGCCAAGACACCTACTTTGCTTAATACGTTATCATATAACCGAAGGACGAGGTATACAAATTTTACTGGCGTATCACACCAGCATTTTGTATCATTCCTCAATCATCAATGATTTTTACACCATGGAAGAGCATTGCTGACCTACTTGTTCTCTGACTATGAAGATATCTCAAGTGTAGTGTACCAAACCGTGCCAGAGAGTGTGGAGGAACTCGAGTCATCTACTAAGTGTGAAATCTTTGCTATTCCGAGGAATAATCTTTGTGCATCATCTCTCGAAATAGCAAAAATATTACACGCAATAGATAACACCAGGTCTTCCCAAGTGTTCGGGTTGATTTGTTAGCGAGGTTGAGGTCAAAGTTTTCATCTGTAAAACGTGAACGTCGAACGTCGAGTGCCGCTTACAAGATAGTGGCGCTCGACGTTCGACGTTCACGTTTTAGAGATGAAAACTTCGGCCGCAATCTCGCTATTATTGTGTATGCACGAAATATCATCATGAAGTCCTGAGGACTCGGATATAGATAATATGTAAGCCAGAAATCCTCTTCCATAATATTTTCCATTACATAAAAGTCTTTGAAGTTGAGGGGGAAACTTCAAATGATATCCTGAGTAAAACTTGTATCTTATCTTATAGTTACAATAAAACATTAAACATGGCGATCCATGCAAGTATCTTTGTTGAAAAATTCTTCAGAACAATAAAATAAAAAACATTAATTTTCTAATAATAATATTGTTAGGTGATTTAACTGACGAAGAGGAAGTTTTAAAATGGTTAGTGGAACAGATGACTTCTGACGAAATCGAAGAAGTGACGAATGAAATGCTAGATATTCTTATAGAAAATAATGAATATCTCGCAGTTCTTTTCTGTAAGTAGCATCGTTACACGAGAATGACACAATTAAAAAAGAATTTTGTCACTTTGTTTCCATGCCAAACTGTCAAGTGGGCATACTAAATTATGATTGATTAATCTCGTGTAGATATTATTATATGATGATACATCCTTAAAGTATACGCATATAATATCTTGTAATTCACTTAGTCTATCAAGTATTAATAGGGATTCTGAGTAGTAATTATAATATTCAATAATAGGTTACAACCACAAGGTGGGTGAAAAGTAACCAGGCATCGAGAAATCACTGTGATTTCTATATTTCTAAAGCAAATATGATGAAGAAACTTTGGCATGTACGGTAGCATATTAAATAGAAATATGGATGCAAACCGTAGAAGAAATCAACCGAGGCACCGGCACCGGCCATCTACACGTTTTTCGCAGATCGCGATATGGATGAACGTCCACTTTTCTGCGTGTTCTTAACCGAATCTGCGGTCATTCGCTTCAAATCATAATTTTTGATTGTTATCGGATGAATTGTGGCATTCCATCCCTTCACCATACACCACCATTCCTACATAATAACCACTCATTTCCACGCCTCATAACGTGCAGCAATATGCGCTCGCTCCCGAACAGACAAATGGTTGGCCATGTTTTTAGACACTACTCGTTCACTGCCCACACCAATGATGTGAGAATTATAAACTTCCGTTAATGATATACATGTATAAACAAATTTTATTACGATTGCTATATAATTATAAAAATTATATCGATTTTTCAATGCCTAGTTACTTTCCGTCCAGCCTGTAGAATTCATTACTTTTAGCAATGTTAATGATTAAAATTGTAATACTGTAATTAGGAATACACTCGTGGCGACTAATGTTACTACCAGTCCGTTTAGCATTGTTGAATATACTGTATTTCCATTTATATTAATTAAGGATTTGAATTCTGCTGCCGACATTGCTAAATGAATTGTAATTTCCTAGTGACCGATGTTACAACCGGCAATTTGACACGGATCAAACCTATCAAATTCTGCTTTAATTGTGCCATCCTTTAGATCATATTTGAATTTTGGTTTATTTACTTAAAATTATTTATTTATTAAAATAATTAGACGATAGCTCCTCTAGCGAAAACATGAGGATAGTAAAAGAATTGGAGAATATCGACGATGATGCTGACAAAAATAATATTGCATTTGTGAAGACCGATGACAAGGAAGCAGCCAGGAGATTTGGCTTGGACCCGTTACCGGGTTTAGTATTTTTTGAAAACAAACTGCCAAATTTATACGAAGGTAAGAGAAGAATTACGTAATAATGCAAGAGTTCTAAATTATTATTCTAAAATAGAAAACTTTCACTGAAATCCCCAAGTTTCCAACGACTGATCTGGATTTCAATAGCTTCTTGCACTGTGCCTCATACTCCTACTGATAACAATGGAGTCATGCCAGTCATCTATCTAACTCTACTTTCCCTCTGTTATATATAACAGCCAAGAAAGTTAAATTTAATTAATTAAATATGGAATATTTGGCTTTAAATTATATTCAAAATTTAGCTTTAAAAATGGAATGAAGCAATATTTAAATGAATAACAATAAGATTGATTGGTACTTCCTTACGTTTACAATCAGTAATATTTTACTTCCTCAGACTTTACAAGCCTGTAAGCCTGTTTATATCATTTATAAGTGATGCATCAAGTGTATTCACGGGTGGATTTGGCTCTCGTGAATACACTTGCAACACTTATGTTGTGAAGTGTTATAATAATTTATACCGGTATAATTATCAACAAAGTTAAATAATAATAAGTCTTTTGAATTCAAACCATGGTTTGAGTGCCAAATTTTTAAATTTCCATCAATTTCAGGGGATCTATCCAGTGAGGAAGACGTGTTAAACTGGCTCTTGGATCAGCAAGCTTCCGAAGAGATTGCTGACGTAACAGAAGAAATGCTTCTTCACTTAATCGAAACTTCCCCGTATCTTGCAGTAGTTTTCTGTAAATAGAAATACATGTATTTAAGCTCGAAATTATTTTGTGTGTGTAACAATTGTTATAATTTCTTACAGACACTAAACAATCGGCAGAAAGCGAAGCGGTGTTGAAAGAATTAGAAAATATCGACGACGAAGCGGTAGAATACGAAATTCCCTTTGTTAAAATCGATGACGAAAGTTTAGCCCAGTCTTATGGCTTAAGTGACGAACTTCCTATAGTAGTGTATTTTGAAAACAAGTTACCAACTGTTTTCGAAGGTGATTCATTGTTTATACACACAACTAAACTCTAGTTTTTGTATTTTTATGGTGATATTTTATAATCACAGACAGAGATTTTTATGAATTTTCTTTAAATTAGAGCTAATTCGTTATTTTCAAGTAATAATTTCTTTTTTCCAGGTAATCTTAGAGACGAAGGAACTGTGTTAGACTGGTTGGTACAGCAGAAAGAAGCTGACAGCATCGAGGAAGTAACTGAAGAAATTTTAAAAGATTTAATTCTCAAAAAGGATTATGTTTTAGTTTTCTTTGGTAATTGTTTACTTATAATTAATTTTTGAATTTCTTTCTTAGCCCTCGTAGTTAATTGGAACCTGTCTAAAAAAGACAGACACTAACATAATTACATGTCCCAATTAATTGCTGAGACTGAAAACAGCTGAGGGAAATTTATTATCTAATTATTCTATAAGCTGGTATTCAATTCATTTTAACAAATTAGAGGGTAATTGATGACCCTGATTGAGATAGCTTCCATACATTGAAAGTTCAAATTCCCTTCTATCTTTAATGAGTTAGGATTTATTATAATGTTTTTACAAAACATTCTCTTACATTACTTCTTAATAATCACTAAAAATTAAACGTTAATTTCTCTTTTGTAGCTCCAGAAAATTGCAGGAATTGCGAGATGATTCTCGAAGAACTCGAGAAGATCGATGACGAAACGGATGAATACGGAATCTTGTTTGTAACCACAGATGACTTGAAACTGGCGAAGAAAACTACAGGACTGAATCGTTTCCCAGCATTAGTTCTATTTCGAAAAGAAGAACCAATCATTTTCAGAGGTAATTCATTCAGAATATTGTTTGGCACACGAGTACCCAAGAATGTGGTTACAAAATGGTAAAGTATAGTAAAAAACCCGAGATTTAAGTTCAAATTTCATTGTAATTCAGATAAAATGTTATTCCTAGTGTTAGCTGATTCCCACCTACAATAAGCAAAGCATTATTTTCTATCCCTTGCTAGTCAATTGTAATGCGGGTCTGATCAATAACGAGCAAGTTAACAAATCAACAATGGATAAAATTATGCACGATTTACTGCATACCAATGAACCGAACACTGCTCCAGAGAACTGATATTAACACGTGAAATCATAGGAAATCATTCCATAATTGCACGAAAAATTTCAAACGTAGCTCGTATAGACGACACATAATGAAACTGAACCACCAAATAAGTAACACAATGCAATATTTATTCTTTTAATACATATTTTAGGGGATTTAAAAGACGAAGATGCCATTCTGCAATGGGTAACAAGCGAAGACACTTTGAGAATTCCCGACCAGATCGACGACGTCAATTATAAGAGACTGGATAAGCTGCTTAACACTTCGGAATTTGTTGCAGTGTTATTCAGTAAGTATGATCTATTCCCGTTTAGTCATCAATTAACAGAACACTTAATCCTGAAAAATACAATCGATCATCAAATCCAGGATGTGGTTATTTTCAGTTAAACCCAAATGCCCGGAATGCGATTTGGCACTGAAGGAAATTGAGAATATCGACGAAATGGCCGATGAAATGGGGATCGATTTAGTCAAGTGTTCGGACCCTAAAGCAGCCAAGGAGTATCACATTCTAACATTCCCATCGCTGGTATTTTTTCGTGGAAAGTTTCTTCAGTTCTATGAAGGTACGTATCAGTTGCGATTCGTACTGTATCTGTCCCGTGTTTAACACACGTAAAAATTAAGGTGCCTAACACAATAGCGAAGACGTAAATTTACTTTTAGTAATAATATAGTTATCAGAAATGCCACAAATTACACAAACAAACGAGAATCTTGATTACAGATGAATTACAATCCCAACTCAGGTGATCTCCACGACGAAGAAAATGTCTTAATCTGGATACGTGAAAACAAAGAGAAAGAAGCCAATGAAATCGAATACGTCGATCGAAAAATGCTAGAGATGTTATTGGAAGAAACCGAGGGACTTGCAGTGTTCTTTTGTACGTATAAATCCTATCTTCTTTTACCATCTTCTAAAGCTGTGATTCCCAAAATGGGAGCTACCACCCCCTTCAGAAGGAAGACTTAAGGAAGCGCTGTAAGGTAACGGGTGGTAGGAAATACAGTCACTATAAGGAGGTGGTAGTCCGAAAAGTTTGGGAAACACAATTATAAAGAAAATCATTATACCCATTGAGGATTTCCTTAACTTAGACGATGATGATTGCGCCGATTGTGAGAAAATCCTGAACGAATTAGAAAACATTGACGATGAGACCGATGAGTACGGACTCCATTTTGTAAAAACGGATGACGTGGAATTTGCGAGAGACCTAGCCGTTACGGAGATTCCATCTTTGGTCTATTTTGAAAATAATTTTCCAAGTATTTATTCAGGTATGTTCTAGAAATTATAGTTATCAAATTTAATTAATTATATTTAAAATTATAACATTATAATTAAATTTTAGGGGATATACAACAAGAAGAGGAGGTATTGCAATGGCTGATATTACAAAAGACGGAAGATACTATAGAAAACATCAACAGAGAACTACTTTATAGAATGATAGTGGAACAAGAATACTTAGTTGTTTATTTCTGTACATAGTAATTTAATAGATTTTCTAAGAGTTTTATATCATCAAAACGGCGATTTTATAATCGTGTTTTACAATTTAGATATAGAAAACGATCCAGAAAGCCGAGAGATTCTCAAACACCTAGAACTTATCGACGACGATTGCAGCGAATATGAAGTACAACTAGTTAAAATGAATGATAATTTAATGGCGAAAAAATATGGTATACGTAATCCTCCCGGAATCTCGTACTTTCGAAGAGGAAAAAACATAAAGTATCCAGGTATATTAATTCTTGTGGCTAGTGAAGTGTTTTTGCGATGTTTAAATAATAAATTCAGTTCATTTCAACTGGCACTGTAAATCCTGAAAGTCCGTGGCATCTGTGCTGACCTTTCCCTTCTTCTCATTCTCCTGTGTGTCATGCTTCTTGTTTGCTTTTAGTTTCCTTACCAGTCTAGCAATATTGTTCTAATCCTTACTAGTATTATTGCAAAAAATATTCTCTTTGCTGGTTTCTTAGATATTTTGACCATTGTAATTGTCTGGCTTTATGTTTAACCTTCCCTTCCAGGTGATTTGTTTGACGAAGAAGAAATTTTGGAATGGATAACGAATCCAGAAAACATGGAACTCAGCGACGGAATCGAAAAACTGAACAGGAGAATGTTTGAGAGACTCATATACAGAACGGACTATTTGGCCGTCCTCTTTTGTACGTAAAAATCGTGCAAAAATAGAAATTATAATGAAAGAAAATAAATTTCAATTGTCTTATAAAATTCTTCAGATAGTAAAGACTGCAACAAGTGCGCCAAAGTTCTAGAAGAACTCGAAAAAATCGACGACGAAGCGGACGAAGCCGGTATCAAATTTGTGAAGATAGAAGACGTCAAAATGGCCAACAAATATGGAGTTTTCGCCATACCCGGAATTGTTATATTCAAAGGAGGTGATAAGGATTATACTATTTACGCTGGTAAGTGGCTTTCGTTACTTAAAATTACACGATATATCATCAATTGCTATATTATATTGTGCAAAAATAGAGCATACTATTACACGTTTTCTCGTTAGAATTGGTTAGAATCATTCAGGTGACTTCTAGAAAACAGTTTAGAAACTGCTAGATCCTTAATATCCTGGTAAAGAACTATCTTAGAATTCCAGTGATCTAAAGATCTAGTATCCTAGTGTTTGATGAGAATCAACACTATTATCGGCCAATGTTTTCGAAATTTTATTACACCATGTACGAGTATCTACGAAAATTATAAAACTTCCATCCATTTTAGGTGACATGAAACAGGGCGAAAGGATTTTGGAATGGCTTTTGATCCAGAAAAATCCAAGTAATGAATACATCGAAGATGTTCATGGAGAAGTCTTACAGAATTTAATCGATAATTCAGATTATTTAGCCGTTTATTTTTGTGAGTATTTTTATTTTCAAGTGTTTTACAATAGACGATATATTTAACAATAAATAAAAAGCATGCTATAACACTATTAATGTACTTTGTACTCTCAAAGCAGACCTATGGCTGAGTGGATAAAACCACAAAACACTGTTTGCACGCAGTTATCTGGGTTTTATTTCTGTGTTTAAAGCCTAAATAGGGGTCAGCTTCCAATAGAAAGTCCTCCCGAGAGGCATTCCCGTTCCTCATTGAAAAATCCCACACGGTCTTCATAGTCGTGTCTACCTTTAAGTAGACACGACATTGTGTTAACTGTTGCTGAATTGATTATGTATTTTCTGTTTTTTAGACACATCGGATTGCACAGAATGCAAAAGAACTTTAGAAGAATTAGAGAACATCGATGACGACACGGATCGACACGGAATTCTTTTCGTAAAGACTCAAGATACAGAAATTGCTGCGGAGTATGGAGTTAATGATTTCCCAGCGTTAATCTACTTTGAAAACCAAATTCCGAGTTATTACGAAGGTAATTAATGAAATTTTTCGAAATAAATCATGAAAATACACACATAAAACTTATTAAGGTGAAATTTCTTAATAAAACAGGAAGCTTACTAGCCGAGGAGGAACTTTTGCAATGGTTGATCCATCAGAAAACGGAAGATACGATCGAAACCGTCAACCGTAATTTATTAGATTACTTAATTCACGAGGAGCAGTACGTTGCTGTTTTATTTTGTAAGTATTCCACGTTTCTGTGTTAGTTATATATCGTGGTAAACACTAATAATCCATTTAAATCTAGATAAACCACATTGCAAAGCGTGCGAGGTCGTTCTTCAGGAATTAGAGAATATCGATGATGATACGGATCAGTTTGGAATTCACATTGTCAAAACTCAGGACAGTGGAGTGGCAAAACGTTACGGATTAAGAACATTCCCTTCTCTCATATATTTTAGAAATGGAAATGCACTCGTCTTTGATGGTAATGTATAAATACAACTTAATTGAATACTAGAAATATTTCTTTGGTAGGCCATTAGAGAAATATACACTGCCACTGAATATTAATAGGTGGTCGTGGGTTCGTGCCTCACAAGAACCTGGCCACATGGAAATTTTTGGTATTTCTTTACGTGTCGAACATCTAAATAGAAGCCAGTTTATCAAAAACATCCTATGGATTGGCATGTGTTGCGTTGACTTCTATTATTAGTAACCTTTTTGAACTTCCCTGTGTGACAGAAAAACTCCCTGTGGATGATTCCCTCCCTTTCCATCCTATAAATACTAAGAGGGCTTTTCTTCCATACTATCATGGGTTCGCATTATGGGTCAGGCATATAATGGGAATAGTCAGGTAGTGTGAGGTACCATGTGGGATCCACAGGAAGTTTTTATCATATAAAGTCCATAAATTCCTGGGGGATCGCTCGTCCGGATTCGATTTCAAATCCAATTGAGTGGCAATTCATGCTTCAATTCCCTTACCTATCTTGTGCTTCAGTATGATTTCTTATATCTCCTTTCATTAATACAGGGGATCTGAAAAATGAAGAGGCTGTCTTAGAATGGCTCATTGACGATGACAACAGAGAACTGGCAGACGAAATCGAAGCAATTAACGCAAGAATGTTGGACAGATTAATTGACGAATCACCATTTTTGGCCGTTATTTTCTGTAATATTTTTCAAGTCATTCGCTTTAAAAGGAATATTTCCTTATTGAAGTTTCTAAATAAATATCTTCTATTGTTTCACAGACGAGGATAATTGCGACGAGTGTTCAGAAATTCTTCAGGAACTAGAAGACATCGATGACGAAGCGGATTTATTCGGCATCGATTTTGTAAAAGTCAATGATCCTGCCGCTTCTGCAAAATGGAACATCCTTCATCATCCTTCTCTCATCTATTTTAGAAAGACAGAACCAGTTTTATATGAAGGTTTGTACTTTAGTTAAGAGTGAGATAAATTAAAGCAACATCTACTAGAAAGAACTGCACCAGTGGAAACCACCAGACACTAAAATTGGTCGTGGGTTGGCGCCTGGCCAGTGAGCTGGCTGTGTGGAGTTTCCTGGATTGTCTTCTCGTTATTAAATCTAAATATGGGCCTGGAAGTTTCTGGAAGAAGGTCTTCTAGAGAGGCATCTCCCTCGGAAGATGAAGGGTGTGAATAGGGTTTTTGGTAATACTTAACATTTAATGTTTATTTAATCTTCAGTATATGTAGCTTTCATACCAGAAAATCCCTGGCCGAATGGATAAAACCGTGAGCAATTGATACACATGGACACAACACTGTCGCAGGTTTACACCTGCCATGTGGAATTTTCTGTGTTTTTACGTGTATAACACCTTTCTGAAAGTCCTTCTGGGAGATCCCTCTTGATAGATTGCCAAAGTATTCCTTATTCTATCAATCCATTCGTGAAAATCCATGAAAGACTGGTTATTTACAAACATTTGCCATATTTTCGAGCTCTTATATATGAAAACAACTTGTTTTCATAGCTTAGAAACACGTCTTGCTTCGCTGATAAGAGCATATCTAGCATAAAAGAGCATACTCTAACATGCTCTTGTAAGCACGGAAAACAATAATTGTAATTACAGTTATATCACCCGTATACAACACTAATTGCATTCTATTACAGGAGATCTTTCAAATTCGGAGAGAGTTTTAAAATGGTTGACCAGCCAAGACATGATTGAGATGAAAGACGAAATCGAAGAAGTGAACAGGAGAATGCTAGATAAATTACTGGAAGATAATGACTTTGTCAGCGTTTTCTTCTGTGAGTATCACTTAGTATAACGTAATTCCTCGATACATACACGAAACAATGACTATAATTGATAATTCTGTACTCGACAGATGACGAAAACTGTCCAAAGTGTGATGGGGTGCTTCAGGGACTCGAGAGCATTGACGATGAAGTTAGCGAATTGGATATTATGTTCGTGAAAGTTAAAGATGCTCGATACGCACGAAGATACGGTATAAAACAGATTCCTGCACTTTCGTACTTCAGAAGGAAGTTTCCCTCCATATACAGAGGTAATTTCATAGAACTGAGTACAGGAATGAGTGTCTTGAAAGTAGCGCAAAGGGGACTGCTATGAATTCTACATACTTTTCAACATTTCCACTTAATGGGAATGCTGCAAATTACCTGTATTTAGTAGAACATTTCAGGACACTCATCCTCGCACTCCGAAGGTTCTTAGGAATGTAAATCACTACAGTTCTTGTTAATATCTGTCCACAGGTGATCTGATGAACGAGAAACAAGTATTGGAATGGTTGAGGAAACACCGTTATCGAAATCCAGAGCTGAATCTTTTCATGTACACCATAATTGCAATTTCGGTGGCCTTCATACTGTACACGCTATTCCTCATGTTCTGTTTCAAACCGGGAAAAGACAAGTAAAATGTTCAAAAATGGCGACGACAATTGCATATATACATACTGTTTTTTTCGAGAAGGGACCCTCATTTGAAATCTTTGCTGATCGTCTAGGATTCTTCCTGTTTTTTTTTTTTTTTTTTTTTTATGTAGCCGTGTCTGTGATAAAGTGTGTAGCATTCCCACTGTGTGTCTGTATGAAATTCGACAACCTTTCCTCCGATTTTTGGTTGTAGTAACTCGTTTAAAACGGTCCTTCCGTGTAAAATTTCTCACTTTGATTCAGTGCCGGTCTTTACAGGACTTGACATATCAAAAGATCAGCAAACAGATTTAAAATTCCATAATAAAATGAGGGTTTTATGAGAGTGTGAGGTTGGCACTGCATCGACTTTCGGTCCATTTGTTACGTTGCAGGGTCAATAAATTCCTCCGAAGTGCCTTTCACCATCGTAACTTACACATACAACGTTTGTGTCAATAGCGATATCTTCTCGTGGATGATATTTGTATATTTTTAATGTAGAAGAAAAAACATTTTTCTACAAGATACATTAATTTATTTATATCGAGACGACCTCTCTCCGACAAATACGCTTAGTGAAATTTCGCGTACGCTTGATAAAACAAGAAATTTTTCAGTAGAAAGTATCCTGACAATTGTGTAAAAGTTAAAAAAAAAATTATTGAAAGAAAAATGGCGATTTTTTCCTATATATTGTGTTCGGGAAAGTTAATCATTTCCGTAGGACTGTTAGTTGCAATGTGAACATTTTGTGCCTGTAATTACCAGTGTGGGAATTAATTTTTAGAAATAATTTCAAAAGAAACAGTAACACGAGACTGTCAATAATAGCCGAACAGTGTTTGTATAACATTTCATGAAAATAAAATAAAAAGGTATTTGTGTAAAGTCATATGTCTAATTTCTTACTTGTTAAAGTTACATTTCTTCAATTATAGTAAACAGTAGAGTTTCTATAGTCCAGTAATTTGACAATGGCTGTGTCGGATTCAGGGCTGTGGAGTCGCGTAAAAATCTTCCAACTCCGACTCCAACTCTTCCTTACCATCTGACTCCGACTCCAGCTAAACAGGGCTGTGGAGTCAGAGTCAGAGTCGTGGAGTTTTGGTGTTGGAGTCGGAGTCGGAGTCGGAGGGTAAGGAAAAGTCAAAGTCAGAGTTGGAGTCGGTAGATTTTTACGCAACTCTACAGCCCTGGCAGGGCTATCGGAGTCGGAGTCGTGGAGTTTTGGTGTTTTAGCCGGAGTCAGAGTCGGAGTCGGTAGATTTTTACGCGACTCCACAGCCCTGCAGCTAAATCACCTAAACTCCACGACTCCGACTCCGACTCTACAGCCCTGCCAGGGCTGTGGAGTCGCGTAAAAAATCTACTGACTCCAACTTCGACTCCGACTTTTCCTTACCACCAGACTCCGACTCCGACTCCAGTTAAAACACCAAAACTCCATGACTCCGACTCCGACTCCACAGCCTGGTCAGATTACACAAATTACTGCAGTTCCTACATTTAAATCCCTCAAGAAATGTGAATGCAACAAATCATATAGTATTCCCATTGCACCTCAAAAGTCCCATTTAAATCATTTAGGTTTTCATTAGTATTGCAATTTAAATTTTATTTGTAAACTGTTATTTAACAATGAAATCAGGCTCAACTGTAAGCTTATGCCAGTGGTTTTTAATAGGCAAAACTTAGGAAACTTTGGACAAAAGACACGAGTTATTAAGCTTCAAAGTGGGTGAAGAAAATCCTGCCCTCCCCACACACTAATATCCATACATACAGAAAAAAACCCAACTTTTTTTTGAATTTCAAGAAACTTTGAGACCAAACATATAAAAATCTTGAGGGTTTATTATTTGACTGGTTGCCACACTTTCCCTCTGTTATATAGAAAACAGCTGGGAAAGTAAAATTTTTGTACTTACTCCTATTAATACTTTCACATGAGGATGTTATATTAACTAAATTTGTTGTGAATGTTTATGTGTATAGAAGCCTATAACAGAATGGTTGTGTACTGGAATGTGTTGTGTAGGCTACTTAATGTAGATTCTAGACAACATCTACATACCTTGTTTACCACTTTTCTATGTCATTTTGTATCTTGTTTACAAGTTCCCTTAAGGCATTATACCTTTTTACTAGTGTCTTGCTATCAATTTTAATATAAAGCATCTTGGTTGCCAGTTTACTAGGTTATGTATCTTGTTTGCCTGTTTGTTAAAGCACTGTAATGATGTGTTTGCAAAATTCCTTAATTTTGTACATATAATACATTTGTATTTCTTTATTTATAATTAAATAATTACAATAATATAAAATACAATCACAAAATCTGCTTATAATTTACTTTTATGAGCTATAACATTGGTTAATATGAAACCAGCAAGTGGCGCAATGAGCTTCACCTATTATAATTGAGCCTATTGTAAGCAAAACTGTTATTATTGTCTATGAAATTATTAAGCAGACATTATAGACTTACATACATATTTTTGTATGCTAAAATTAAGAATCGTTAGAGTAATATTCTAATTTTAGCATACAAAAACATAATAATATGTAGTATATTAGTGAAGCTTATTGCGCCAACTAACATTTACATTTAAAAAAACTAAAAAAACATAAGTATTAAAATTTAATAGCATTTATCTCGTTATACAAACAAAATTTATTTTGTTAACTTAAAGAAAAAGTAACTATAAAACAGAAATTCACCTCATTCCAACGACAAGGAATTCCGTTAACCGTTTCTATATTTAGAAATGCCCACACACGTGATAACGTAAACAGAGAAATTCGTGTTTTAAAAGGTAAAAAAAAAATTAATAATTATTTTTACATAAAATTTAAAAATTAAACTTTATTTAAACAAATAAATAAATAATAAATTTTATTTATAAATATTAAAAATATAAAAAACAGATATTTTAGTTACGTTGTAAATGGCGCAACGGTCGCTCGAATTCCAAGATGGAGGCGGTCGGTACGGAAAGTGTGAGAACTCAACAACAAAAACTGGTGGCGAAATGTCTGGAAAGGTTAATTAAATGTCGAGGAGATCCCGAAAGGTTTAAAAGCCAAGTTAATGATGTTTTCGACCAATTAAACGCCTTAGAATTTAACATAAAGTTCCTTGAAGAGAAAGTAAGTAACCAGTTGGGTAGAAGTCGCCTACCCACACCGTCGTGAACAGCGTACACGGAGTAACACGTGACGTCACTCGGTCACGTGAGTAAACCAAGGCCACGTGGTTTAAACATCTTGGAGGAATCTTAATCAAATCATTGATGTTTTATACAATATACCTTAAATGGGGTGAACTCTGAATGAGGGGTTTGCCACTCTCCAGAATTGTAGACCTCTATGAATAAAAAAGTCAATGGAACTATACCCACATGGGTTAATGTTTACCTAGATAGTCCAAGATGGCCGCACAGTGGACCCACGTTCTAACCTAACCTAACCTATTCTAATAAATTAACAAAATTACTAATGTAAGATGTAAAATAACTCAAAAAATTAATTATATGAAGAAAGGAAAACTTTCTTAATTTATTAGAATAGGTTAGGTTAGGTTAGAACGTGGGTCCCCACTGTGTGGCCATCTTGGACTACCTAGGTAAACATTAACCCCCACATGTGCGACCTTTCGTGAGATACTCGCTTCCAAAGGTTAGTTTTTATCGTGAACTGGTACTACCTATATTTTGTGCTCTGTGGCGGTGCAAGCACCGAAGCACCTGCATGGAACAAGCCACAACACCCCATAAAACTACATAACATTTTGTAGTACACAAAGAGTTGAGTGGGCTACTTGAAGCTGTCGTAGTCACGTGGGCGAAAAAGTTAAATGCGAGTCTTAGTGGAGCACGTGGCATCGCTCCTGAATGCATGCATACCGATAAATAGGCCAATTTTGGGGAGGCTGTATCTCACGAACAATCACGTGTATGTTTCCTTTGACTTATTTGTTCCTACGGGTATGGATTACAGGTTTGGTAAGGTTCCAACTGTCTCATTTCGAGGTGTAATTGTACCCTAAAGGGGACTGTCGGAAGATAGTAATGGACCTAGGGGTACGTTAGGAAGTTGGTAGAAAGCGCCGTGTACCCCAAGTTCTCTGGTGTTGGAAAAATTCCCTCTTGACGGTGCTGGCTCCAAATGTTTAGATAAATTGTGAGAGTTCAGTCTCTTGTACAGTTACTACTCATATGCTATGTTACTATATGCAATACTAGTATGGAGTTGATATCCTTCACGTGCATGTTACATTGCTTAAGGCAACATATCTATATAATGTTGACGTAGAGAAGATATATGTATATTTTAGCAGATAAGCATACATATATTCACAAACGAAGAAAGCACAAAGTATTGATGTGTTTAGAAGCAGAATTATAGTAACACATGATGAATACATGTAAAAATGGGTAAATAGATATCTCCTGATAAGCAATTACATATATGCAATTGATGCAGAAAGATTAATAGCAATGTGTGTAATGTCGATTGTTTATAGGATATTACTCAATTGCCTGGCATATAACTCTCTTTAGACATTATCAAGAATAAAAGTTTATGTGATGAAATTCAAAGTAACATTACCAAAAGTACTTGAATTAACAAATTGTCTTTCTTTAATCCATTTTGAAGAAGATGCAAGCATGCAAATGAGGATAATCGTCACAGTTTCGTATATCATCCTTATAGAAGTGATTTTGTCTATTGCTTCTTTTTCTCCGCATCTTTCGTGAAAACTTACCAAAGTAGTTAATCTATATTTGTCAAAGCCAAGAGATTTGAAATGTATAAATGAATAATCTGAATTATATTTATATATGAAAGAATGGAAGATAATCGTCTAGTTTATGTTGACTATCTGCAGTAAAGAAGATAAAATTACAAATGTACCATTGTCTAAATAGTGGTGAAAACTAGTCACTTTTGATGTGATGTCTGAACTGATGTTTATAGTCACACGACTGTTTTCTTTCAATGATTTGGCAATGTCGCCTCTTGTGATATTACTTGTGACGTAGTTATAAACAACAAATGAACATTTGTAGCTGAGTAGACATGCAAGACTTGTTTATTGCCTACAGAGCCACAAACAAGTTCCCTTCTTACAAATGTATGTGTCTCTCTAATTATTGCCTGGTAAAATCTAACTTATTGATGTGAAAGTTGTCGAAGCGACTGCATACTTTCTATCAAAGAATATGGATGATGTTGAGTCCATAACCGGACGATCGATCATTGACCCTATGACAATCAAATAAATTTTGTTTTACGTCACCTCTGACAGTTTGTGCCGAGCTTAAGAAAGATCTGCGCCAAGGAAAATGTCAAAATGGAGATGAATTAACCATCTTTCATATATCTACACTAAATTATTTGTGAAATGTGCCATTGTTAGATTGTTTAATGAGAAAAAAGCTAGCTTAGAGTAGAAATGTGTTTAGCAAAGGATGTCTCTAGTTAATATTCTCGATTTAGTACATATTTAGAAACATTTTATGCAACACCATTTGTTGTTAGCTCTTCGAGGTCATAGAGTATAATTATAGACGGGATATACTTGCAGGTTTTATGACTTTAATTGAATTGCCGTAAATAAAATCGTATTTAAAATACTGTTTTCTTATTCTTGTTAATTTCCTCTTCTTTATTGACAGGATGTTACCGAGCTGCTGAATCTCAGTATGGATGTTCTACCGCAAAACAATGATCATCTTTTATCAAAGTGGTGCCATTTAGTAACTAATTTGATATCTAGACAGCAGGTAAGCAAGTATTGTTTACAACAAGTACATTTTATATGAATTGATGATTTAATTCACAATTGTACACATAGATCGTGTTACAGACCGGTACTCTACTTCACATAACACAGTTTATTGTTAGAAAAGTCGAGAATTCGGGCGTCTGGGCTCTTCCGGATCTCCTGACCGTCCTCTCTGTTTTACTTCAAGATAACGGTGCTTCGGTAGAAAAGGTGATTGGTAATTTGTTAGACAATAACTGAATTTCAGTGGTAAATTAAATCATTTCCATGTCTTTGCATAGTTTTGGGAAAAATTTGTTGGGAAAGACGGAATGTTGTTGAAGTTTTCCGCACCAAATTATCCCGACATGGAAATAAATCATATTTCCATGAAGTGCATGCAGAATTTATTAGCAAGGTAAGTTCAGTTTGTTAACTTCTGAATGTAGAATTTATGTTGTCATCACCTTACAAGTCTCATTTTACACATTTTTGGAGTAACTTATAACTTAGTTTCCTTATTAACATGTATACTTTATTGTTGCTTCTCTCTTATCTTCAATGCTTAATATATTGCAAGTACCTTATATGTTTGTAGAATAAACAAAATTTCCTCTTTATTCTATTTTTTATACCATCACACTATGCACTATGATGCACTATGATGCATCATATGATGCACTATGAGTATATTCAACCACAAAATAAACTTCATAAGCATCAAAAAACTTTTAATCATTATGTTTTCATTCATTTTCAACAACCTTCTTCAGTTTACATATAACTTATAGACTTATAAGAACATAAATATTTAGAATAAAGAAATTTTCAAGTTATTCAAATTAATATTAAAATAAGTACACAAAAATTAGATGTATTGTACAAGAATACATGATAAAAATAGGAAAATTAACAAAAAAATACAGGAATAAACAGAGCCAAAGACCCCAATATCAATGAACAATATGCCATTCCTGCTATATGGATAACTCAGGCTATCTATTCTATAGGTTAGCAAACTATAAGGCATTGCGAGCCTTATAGTTTATAAAATGCCCCCATTGTACAGAATTATAGATTTGTAAAGCTTTCACGTGTCAAATATAACATTTACTAGTGACAATTTGAATGATTTTTGGCTTGCTCTCATTGTATATAGAATCCAATAAAGCATATACTGCCAGGAGGGTTGTGATTTTTGTATATATATTTTTGTTTCTTCAGTTGTGCCTGAAGAGATCTTAGTTAAGGTACACCTGTGTGGAATAAATTGCGAGCCTTATGGTCCTTAGATAGAGTTGCTCACGACTTATTCGACATAAGTACTACCTTAAGTTCTCTTCAGGCTTGATTGAAAGAAGACGTATAACATACAGAATGACTACTGTAAAATTTAACATGATAGAGAATTAGAGGTTACAAACACAAGATATAAATGATCCTTATTAGAACACATTCCTTAATAGTTTTGAACTACAGGTACTTTAAGTCTAATTAGAATATATATATGCAGTTCTAGGCACGTAAATGCATACAGAAAGTACTGTTTTCTGTATGCTTTACCTACCTAGACATTTCACATAATGTACTTGCTACTGGACTTCCCATTGCTACACCTTTCTGTTGCACATATGTAACTCCTTCAAAGTTAAATATCGACCAATATGTGGTTAGATACATCAGCTCTAGTATCTGTTTTCTCTTCTTTTCTGTATACTTGATTTTGTTTAATAAGAAATCTCTTAAGTGGCAAAAACATGGTTCTAGTTTGATGGATGGGTATAGTGAAGTATAATACTGTCATATATCTTCCTTCTTGTGGTTTCATATTTTTCATTTTATGGAGCAGCTCTAGTGGCTGTTTAATGCTGTATTGGTGTGGGGGCAAGTGTGAGTTAATGAAGCATTTGACTAATATTTCTAATATTAGTGTAGGTGAACATCCTTTATCTACCACTGGCCTTATACATTTTTCGGTTTTATGTGTTTTGGTGAATCCGAATAGCTTAGGAACCGACGGGAGGTGACCACTATTTTCGTCATACTAAGTTCTTTTTAAAGGGGTGTGTTAGTGAACCATTTGATTTTTGTTTGCAGCCTCTCCAGAGCACGTGGGTGTGCAATCATGCATTGTGTTTCAGTTATAAATTTTAACAACAGTTTGTCATACGTATTTATTTTCATGATTACTAAGTCCTTTGATTTGTTGGCTCTTGTAAGTACTAAGTTATTAACTTTCAGCCATTCTTTGCTTTATTTGATATTTAACCATATTGGGTTGCTATCACTTTTACTATTTTCATGTTTGATTTTAAGTGCTATCTCCCACTTAAACATTTTCTCCTTGATCTCGCTAAGCTTTTCTATTGCTTGCTCGACGTCTGGCAAGATCTTTTCATGTGTGAGTTTGGGTTGTGGGACATATTTAGGGCCAAACTTGCATGCTTCCTTAACACAGGTTGGAGGTGTGATGCCATCCCAACACATAATTGTTGGGTTGACTTGCGGTCTTAAACTACCTTCCTGATGCTTTTTAATCCATTCCATTTTATTCCTATACCTCTTCCGCCATCTTTCTATAACTTGATTTGCTAGGTTTACTACTCGGTTGTTAGCTTCTTCTAAAACATGTATCCCCAACTCATACATCTCATTTTGTAGCTCAATCAACTTATTTAGCAAGTAATATCTTCTGTGTCATGTGGAGCGGATGGCTTTTCTTAAGCATACTGCCTGTAGTTTTGGAAGTAGAGAGGCACATCCTTGTGGTAAACGTATTCTCCACATCAACATGGGGAATACATTGCATTTTCTGCAATCGATCAAGAATCCCATTTTTGCATTGTTTCTACAAATCTTCATAACTAAAATTTGATACCTTCTGTTCACCCATTAACAATAATGCAATAATTATTGGAAGTACTTGCAATTAATGTGTAATTTTTCAATAAATGTCATGAACATGTAAAATGGTTTTTTTTTTCATAATGGATGTGTCTTGATATGGTTTACAGTCATTTTACATCAATTATAAGTGACTCTTCTTTTCATAAAACTTAACAGGAAACAGAACGAAGTGTACCTTAACGAAGACTTATTACTTAACTGTTATTCGGCCTTACTCGCCTCTCTGAAAGCTTACGTGTCTTGTGCTGTCGACGATATCAGCAACTGTAAGGTAAGAATGATTTTGAGGGATTTGAAATAAATTCCATACACTGTTTTTGCGATCCAAAATTCTGCATTTACAACCCAGAAATTTTGCATAAATTCTAAATATAAACAGTTTACTATTACATATTTGTTAAATACACCTGAAAAATCTTGAAATGTTCAAAAAGAATGGTCAGTTTATTTATTTAGATTGGCCTTCTCATTGGGACGTCAGTGGGCTTTCAATTGGTAACTGGATGGCAAGGAATGCGACTTAATGTATTCCAACGAGATCAATTTGCCATAAAAAATTACCAGGTTTTTCACCACTGCATTCAATTTGGAATGTTAGGTTGACCCTTGACCACCTTGGTCATCGACTAGATATTCTGTTGCACCATTTTGCAACCAGAAATACTGTTTATTCAATCTTATTTGACATTTTGGATCCATGGAGTCTCAAAACATTGAGATTTGCAAAAATCTTGAGTCAAATTTCACATAATTCCAATACTTTCCAGGGTTATATGCATAACAAGCCAGGAAAGTAAAATGTAGATATGAAAGTGCATGCTTACGAACATATTACATTACATGCATTTATGCTAACTGTGTTATGATCTCTATGCATTAGACAGGCATTTGTTGTCATCGTGATTGAGACAGTTGGGGCATCGTAGTGATTAATTTGACAAGGCATAATTAGGTTCTATGTTCTATGTTCTAGTTTTTAAGCTGTCTTCATCATTCTGTTTAGAATACATCTCTGCCTGCATGCAGTCAAATTTTATCTATACCGAAAATCTTTGATGTATTGTTTCCAACTACGGGACATACAGGTCTATAATTTACACATTAAAATCGAGTTTTGCCAAACTCCTCCACTTGTCACTTGCTTATACATTCTACTTATCTGTCGACTATGTCTCCTGCTTAGGATTCTTTCTGAAAAAGATTTTACTGGACATCTGGCTATCCCTAATGGAAGGATAATTAATGGTATTTGTATTATTTTGCATGGACAACTCGTCTCACATATTTTGGTGACTCATTTCAACAGGCATCAAATGCATTAAGGACTCCAACATTTAACTAAATTTCTCTAATTTTCTCAAATGCCTGTATACAACTGTTCAATCTTGTCAAATAAATAACTGTATCATTGTCAAGTGTGCAGAAGTAACAAAAATATACAAATTCAGCATAAAAAGTACCTCAATCATCATAACTACAAATGAAGATGTGTATGGATGGTAGAATTAAAATGACAATGGGCCAAATCAGTCATTTCTGCCAATTGTCAAAGTTTGCCAAAGATAATCACTCAGCTGTCATCTGCATATGTAGTCATATTTTGCCACTTGTGTATCCATCTCGACTGCCAAAAGTCAATAAAAACCACTGTTGATATTTTTAAAACATTCCAGCTTCATTTTTGAATGTCATAAGCCATCATTTTACATTTGAAAATGGATCTACAACAGATTATAAATGTTAATAAACTGCGTATGTTTAGTCTCTCATCATCGTGTGTTAATTTCTCTCCATTGACAGAGAAGATATCTGTATACAGTGTGGTGAAAAGTGACTTGCCAAATGGAGAAAGAGGACATATTGCAAATTACAGATGAAGACACTGTAAATGACTTTAATGACATTTAATGCATATGGCTAACAGTCAGGTTGAGACTAGTGTTAGTATGGAGTGTTGTGCACTACAAAACTCATCAATGCCCACTTTTTCTTGGATGATCTTCCTCTGATTCAATAATGGAGACTGTGACTGCATGATTTGTCTTATTCTGTTTGAAAGAGATTTAACGCAGTGTTTTTCCAGGACACCAGGTAGCATCATGCTACCTGGTGTCCTACAATTCCTATGGATTTTTTCCCATGAGGCTCTGCGAAACAATGTGTCTACCAGATGTTACCTGCCTCCCTCAATAAGTTAAAGAATACAATTTGTATCATTCTTTGCAATATTCCTTGTGCAACTCTTGCAGCAACAACCTGCAAAGTCCCATATCATGTGCAACACTGCATTTGAGTGGGCAAATGATACTTTGAATGTGACCGTTAATTAACAAGCGTTGCATTATACAATACTCTGTATTCACACTAGGCTCAACCTGATTGTTACACAGACTGCATTAGTCATTTACAGCATCTTTCATCTGTAATTTGCAATATGTCCTCTTTTCCCACTTGGCAAGTGACTGTACAAATGCATAAATGTAGATTGCTTTTAAAATATTTTACAAGTCAGCCAATAATCTAGTACAGTGATTCTCAAAGTTATAGTTTATAGATAGTGTAAACTGAATTATAGATGAACTTTAGACCACCCATACCCACTCTACTTCCTGTTGATCAGTGTTGAGTGGATGAAATCACCAAGCGCTGTTGGTTGCTGTTTTGCATCTCATCAATAGTTCTCTGGATTTTCTTCATGTCTAAGTAGAGGTCTGGTTTCCTGTTGAAAGTCCTCTCGGGAGGTATTCCCCTCGGAAGATCACACGTGTTTTGTTACCTAAAAATTGTATATAGTAACCTTTTCTAATGGTTTTCTTGATTTGCCAGAAGTCAAATCTACCCCATCATGAACCCTGTGATAGGTTTGGTCTGAAGGGGTCTGTCTTGCAACAGTTTAATCCTCAACAGGTATGGAAAGAGGATTCTTAGAGGCAAGACATCATTACCATATACTCATGTATATAGCAATTGATTTTATTTTTTTATTTTAAAATTGAATAATTTAAATTATAATTTATTGATCATGTAATTAAATCTGAAATGCATGCATAAAGTATCATAACGTTTCTTTTGAAATTTTACAGGTAATCGTGACTGTTCTGAAAGCACTTCAAAATCTGTTGTTGGGATGGAAGACGATACCTATCGGACAGCTAGGATGTCTCTTGGGATTGTTAAAGGTATGCTATCGCCGTTCAAATTGTTATGACTTGCTTGTTGGTAAGCTCCGTGGTGTACAGAGCTTTCCCAATAAGTATTTGCCAAAGTGCTGGTTGTGAGAAACCAAGGAATCGAAGCCTTGTTAGTAGAAGGATATATCCAATCACTTATTCTTTTCACACTGGAAGCGTAGTTTCAAAAATGATTCTTTGGTGTAGGGAATGGATGGAAGTTCAAATATAGTACAGGGTGTATCAAAATTGTCTTTACAACTCTGTAGGAAAATAAAAAATTTATTCAAAGGATCTGCACAATATTTTTAAATTCACAAATTTAACCTTACACGTCAAGTTACATAAACTTTTGCACTGAAAACTCCCACCGCAGAGTGATCAGCGGTGGCTGTTTTCACAGATGTGGAGAAAGCTTGTGGTTTTTTGTTCAAAGAAATAAAATCTGCTACGTCAGTGCAAAGGAATTTCCGTATCAAGTATCACAAGTAATTACCCTGTAGGCCTACAATTTACTCATGGCACAAGAATTTTGTGTAGACTGGATGTTTCTTTTGCCATACCAAGAATGCCAATAGACCACGAAGATGCCATGGAACAGATCAGAGAGAACAGCCACATAAATGGAAGTCATATTGAACCATGGAAAAACAAATAGGCATAAAACGCGAAGTGTTTGAATACATTTAAATGTTCTAAAATTATGTTTCTTCTATCAATTCACCAATATCTCACCCTCAAATTGTACGGCTATTTTCGGAACACACTGTATTATACACTGCAAAGAAAATGCTAAAGGTCATATGTGTGTTAATTAGGGAATTCGATCCCGGTCCTTATTTCTAATCCCGGGATTTCGGGATTATACTTAGTCAATCCCGGGATCCCATTTCGGTATTGAGGGTTAATAAAAAATAAGAAAATCTTACAGAAATCAACAAATCAAAATTTAGACAAAAATCAACATATTTTACAGTATACACCTAGCTAATTTAATCACTCTAACTAATCAGACTCAGAGTCAGACTAACCAGACTTAAAATCACTCAGTCTTCATGTTAAATTTATTCTTTTTTAAGCATCACTGAGATCTCTTTAAACTCATATAAATTGAAAAAACCTTTATGTAACAAACTATGCAAATAAACGTGGAAAATTAACAAAAATCTCTCTTAACATCGACTAAACAGACTACTTTCATATAGCAACCTAGTAAGTAGGTAGTAAAGTAAGTTTCTTAGCAAAAAGTATTTAAAAATAATATTAATCAGTCACATTTTTCTTAAATATAAAGAAAACTAATCTAATAGGAACATTCTAATTTGAATTGCGATAATATGGTCTGAGAAATAACAACGCATCCTGTGTCTCATCACCAAGTCTACTTCTCAATTTGTTGCACATATATGCAGCTACTGAGAAAACGCGTTTAGGTTTGATGGAAGTTGGAGGAATCGTTAGTAAATACTTATAAGCCCGTTCTAGTTATAGCTTCGAGGACACGGGGAGGTTGGAAGAAAACAGTCCGGTCGACACAGATCGGGATTGTAGGAGTAAAGGCTACAATCCCGATTGTTTCGATCATTGTAAGCATGCCTTTCTAAAAATAAACACGTTAATTTCGTAAATTCGGTCTCTGTGTGAGTCTCTCAGCATCCAGCAAATCACTACTCCCAAACGTAAAAAGACTTTCTCGCATCATCCTGACAGATCACGGGCAAGGCGGGGGTCGTAACCTTTTCACCTAAGATCGACCCCCCTAAGCGAGAGGCGTCGGGTCTATATTAACCACACTGGCAAAACAAGATGGCTGACACATTGACAGGTAAAACGCACTGAGTAGTGCTCTCGACTGCGCCAGAAAATCGATTGGCGCCCGCGAAAATTCAAAAATACAAAAATGAAGTATATTACCAAGTAACCCAGTGAGAACTGCTTGCCTATCATTTTAGTTCAAAATACAAGAAGTTTTATTCCAAGCAAGCATCGCAAGCCCGCTAGGTTAATTTCTGCTGCTTGCTTGGAATAAAATTTCTCATATTTTATATTAAAATGATAGGCAAGCAATTCTGTTAAAAGCACTGGCACTGAACGTTTCGCTTCATGCAGTCTATTTTGCAACTTTTTTAAAATGATGTCAATCCCGAAAATCTCGGGATTAGGAAAACTTAATCCCGAAAATTTTGGGACTGAAAAGTGGTTGGGATCCCAATTTTCGAGGTCCCGGGATCAAATCCTCTAGTGTTAATGCAGCTTTCTAACAAAAGTCCTACCCTTGTGTCTGATGTAAGCTGTTTCTATGCTTATATCTACATCAGGAGCGGGAATTATATATGCCAGACTAAAGGTCGGAACATTAGTTTAAACCATTAACAAAAATTTCTGAGAATCTAACACAGATTTGAGTTGAGTTCTTTCGAAGTGGCAAGTACACGCTTTAGTCATTTCAGCCAGTAGTTTTCAACAAAGAATTTGTAATTTGGATTTTGATTGCAAAGAAGAAGCATTGTTTATTCTTATGAATCGCATCACAAAGACACTTTTTATTCAGATCCCTTATGAAAATACCTCGGATTTGAGTCCGAGAGATCCTTGTAATCTATCGCAGATAATTTCATTCAATTTGCCACTTGAATTAGCTTGTACTTTCAGACTTTATTGCACATCCGGCTCACCATAAGTGGATAAAACTGGATGTGCTCATATAATTTATAGTACAGCAGATGTCAAACATCAAACAGAAGTGATGCACTTCTTGTCTAGTCTTTGAATTAGTTTGTAAGCACTAAATTGGCCTTTATTGTAGACTTATTAAACATCAGATTAGCCTTAGAAAATCATTTTATTGTGTCAAAAATGAATGCATTTCAGACCTTAAGTCCCTCTTCAGCATGCTGTACAATAAATAATTTTGAGATTGATGTTAGCACATCTACGAAAAACAGTAAAATTGCCTATATTCCACCAAAGAAGACAGCGAAGTTAATAGGAAATCCAGTGCATCAAGAGAAGAAACCCTTCAAAACGAAAGCACACATAGAAATTCTGATCTGTAACCAATATTTTATCATTGTCATTTTACCAATTGTTGCAATTACACTGTATTTTTTGTAAATCTACAACATCAATCTCAAAATTATTGTACAACATGCTGAAGAGGGACTTAAGGTCTGAAATGCATTCATTTTTGAAATAATAAAGTGATTTTCTAAAGCTAATCTGATGTGTAATAAGTCTAGCAATAGAGAAAGGCCAATTTAGTGCTTACAAACTAAAGAAGAAATTTAAATAATTAGAATTTTCTTGCATCCATTTTCAGTTTTACCTCTTCCACGGCCAACCGGGTCAAGGATCTCTAACGTCGGTCTGCCTGTATCCGTCCGTGGGAAGTCAATTTGCCTCGACCGTACAACAAGACAATGAAACTTCTTTTCCGAAGGTAAAATTAAATTGTTTTATTTTTGAATTGTCAATAAAAATGCAATAATTAAGTTGTTTTGTCGTAACGATAATTTCGTAGTTGATGTCTCAAAAAAAGAGGAATCGTCGGAGGAGTAAAACGGGAAAGGGCAAAAATAAAAAGAAGGAGCAGCAGGGAGAAGACGACGAGTTGTCTGAAGGTAACGTATTGGGATTTTAGTGTTTGCAAAATCTACGGCATCTTTATTAAGATTTTTGTTGAAGTGCACCCGCCTGCTACCTGGAAGGACCAAGTTGAACCATAGCTTGAAACCCTGGGAATTTTTACAATGATTCATACTTTAATTACAAACTTCAAAGTGCTTTATTGCAGATTACAAATACACAAAATACCAACCAATAACTGGAACATATTCTCTAATACTTCAGTTAACGATGTCCATCATCATCAACAGTTCTAAGAACAAAGAAGAGTTCTGCAATGATGGGGTTTAAAGCTATTAAAAAGTGTCATAAGCGGAGTAGTTGGTTTTGTGCATTTTTAACCTCCAATAAAGCATAATTGAGTGGATGCTTCGTAAGTGAAAAAGTGTTTTGTCCATAATCAAAATATAAAGTAACCATGCAACCACTAAACATGATTTTTGGAAGTGTACGACTCGGCAAGGCTACCGTCGTGACAAATATGGAATTTCGAAGTTCTCTTTACGAACCAAGATGTTTGAGGCAAAAGTTTGCATCTAAAGTCTATGGGCCGATTTCCGGTTGTAAGCCAGTTGCATACCACGTGTCAATCGAGTTTCCGATTGCCATCAATTTACAGTAGTCTTTAGGATGGGCATTTAACGTACAAGGGTCTGTGGCCACACGTGGGTAAATGTTTCTTGACATTTGTACCGGCTATGATGTTACACGTGCGTGTCTTCCCGAACCTGCAGAATGTTAGAAGCGTCTAATGGTATTACATTAAATAATGGTTAACTAATGGTATTACGTTAAATAGGTGCGGCCTCAGATTCCGGTTACAACTCCTCGAGGCACTCACAGTCTCAGATCAATTCGACATGGAACTGTCACTCTACTCCTCCCTGGTTGACCAGTGGTTCGGATTCGGAATATTCCGATACTGAGATAAACCAGTTGGCCAGGATCCGTTCCGCGCAATCCTCGGTCCGTCAGCATGCTTTCGTGGGACTGCAAGCCGTTGTAAGGGTTCGTATTTTGAAATTTCGTACCTTATATGTAAAACAGTAGTAGTTTGGCAGAAAGTCCAAGTTGCAATTGCATAAAATGTAATTTAAAGCACCATGTTTTAAACAGGTGACAGATAAGAAAACCATGTTCGGTTATTGGTTATCGTTCCTTCCTGACAGTCCCTCAGCAAGCATCCCCCAACCGCAGACCATCCTGCTTTCGATTTTAAAAGATCCATCTCCGCAGGTAAGAAGACTTCTTACTGTTTTAAAAACAATACTGCGAAAGCAACTTTCTAAATGTGTCGAAAACTTTAGGTACGAGCAGCTGCGATTTCGGTGCTGACAGACTTGTTGGAAGGCTCTAAACAATTTCTGATGGTGGCGGACGAAAGGTAATTTCTCACTCTTTCTAACGAAAGGCACAATGAGTCGAGCTATCGTTTATCTTAATTTTAGTGTAGTCGTGAGGACGGCTTTCATTCCCCTGTCCACAACACTCGGAGTTCTGGTGAGAGAGCTTCACAGGTGCCTTCTCTTGGCTCTTCTGGCAGAGAATTCATCATTTATACTAATTCAGCTGTTAAAAGTAAGGCTAATTTATTAACATAAATCATCCTTTGTATCATACCTAACAATTCTTATTGCTATATTTTGTCTGGAATCATTGATTGGATGAAATATACGAAAATGAGGTCAACAGACCTTTGGCAACATCACAAGAGACATTCGTTATGCATAATATTTTTATTTCAGTGTTATGCAACTCTTATTAACAATGTTCCCTATCATCGCTTTCGTTCGGATCTTCTAATTCGTCTGCTAAAGCATCTCTATCCACTTCTTCACCATAAAGGTAGAGAGAAACAACAAACACTCATAAATCAAAAGTGCTATTATAAAATATTTCATTCGTTCAGATTCACAAGTGCAAGTTGCGTGTCTTTCTGTCCTCGGATCCATTGTTTGTGTTCAACCTGCTCCTGTGGACATTTCCACTCTGCTGAAAAGCTCTGTTGTGGGTTTTGAAAGTGGCAGAGAACCCTTGGAACCAAAAACAGCAGACGTGACACCATACAGCAACGTACCCTGGTTGATCCAACATTGCCAAGATAACATTTTGAAAAAAGACGTTCCCCTTCCCGTACAATTGGAATCACTTCAACTGTTAGGACTTTTCATGAAAGTTTACTTCGATGTCATGAGGTATAGTTTTCAATAACACTACATACATATTGGAAATTTATGGAAATTAATTTCGATTATTGCAGATACCATTTACCTTGTATCGAAGAAGTGATAACTCTATGTTTAGAAGATACGAATTCATTTCTACAACTCCATGGCGCTAAGGTATTTAATGTAACAGTTAAGCAAACCTGGTTAAGAAAATACTAATTTGTGTGTTATGGTTTAGTTGTTGGAGTCGACAGGCGTAAGCATGTGCAATGCGTGTCAGAACACATCTAATGATTCCACCCAGCTCTCGACAAACATATTACAAGATGTACTTAAAAATTTCATTGCAATTTCTAAAATTTGTGGCAATTTCTTTTAAAATTTCCTCTGATTTCAGGTTTCGCAGTTCTGGAAAAAGTTACTCGACGGCCCATTGCCAAAGTGCCTACAAAACGACAATCACAACACATTGAGGAGCATATGCTGCAACTGTCTTTCGACCGTCACGGCCAACGTGTTTGAGAGCTTTCCGGTGAGTACTTATTGCATAGTTGCGCAAAGATGGCTTATTTTATGCCGCATCACTTTGTATATCTTTCAGAAAAACACTCAAATCTTCTGTTTGACTGTGATGCTGGGTTTGGCCAGAGAAAGCGATCCTAATGTAAAAGGAGCGGCGATTCGATGTCTCGGCATCTATGCCTTATTTCCGTGCCTTAGAGAAGTACGTTTCTTAATGCTTCCTTAGTTTAGAGTTGTTTAAACAAATTTGCTTAACACAGGATGCATCGTTTCTGTTGGATGCTGGGGAAATAATTGTGGAAGCGATAAATGACGGCCATTTTGGAGTTCGTTCAAAAGCTTCCTGGTCTTTGGGAAATTTAAGCAATGCGTTGCTGTTGAGTAAGTAAGTAATAATTGTCAATTTTGTTTCTTAAAATGTTTTGTCGTCGAAGTATAGCCAATTGCATTTTTAGGGAAGAACATTTGGAGTTTTCTTTGGAAGTTCCAGATATATTTGTTTATTCACTCGGAATGGCAGCCATTGTGGCCTCGAAGGATCGCGACAATGTACCCGCCAATGCTGTAAGAACACTGGGAAATTTGTTGTTTTATTTATCTGAAGATGCACTAAGTAAGTTATTACACAAAAATATCATACATAAAATTTCACGACACATTTCCTTGCACATGCACTTAAAAGCCTTATATTCTTATGCATTTTGTAGGAAAAGAACAGATAAAAAGTATGATTTTGGACGCAGTGTCGGCACTCTTAAAAAATCTCAAGACCAGATTTGTCAAAGTACGCTGGAATTCCTGTTACGCACTCGGGAAAGTCCTGCAGAATTCGACGCTACTCGAAGCGGGCATTCTACCAATGGTAGGCTTTTTTTGGTTTTTAAATTTTAAAATGCTTTAACATAAGCCAAAATTTCCAAATATCAGGACGACATATTTGTCGCACTCTTGTCGACCCTAAGCGAAGGCACAAACTTCAAAGTGTGCATCAATGCAGCTTCATCACTGTCGAGCATTTCAAAGAGAGAATACTACGGCAGGTATCTAGTCAACGTATGGCATCAGCTTGTAATGTCGTTATCGAATAGCCGCGACGACATCGACTTCAGAGAATTAAAACATCAAACAAATTTATGCAATCAGGTAAGAAATAGTCTTTTCAATGTCTCTAATCTGGTTTTAATGCAATTTTACATAGCTTTAATTGTAATTAGTTGTGCAAGAGTTTATGCCACCTCACAACCCTGTTACAACCAGAAGACTTGGCTGATGTGGCTGAAATGACCCTCCTGCTAAAAGATTCACTGCTTACATCCATGAATAAGTTTCTCATCGATCCTGCCAACGGTAAGTGGTAACTGTACCGTACATCACACTAAATGAAATTCAAAGTGTTAAATCGCACATTTCTTTGCAGATGAAATTAGACAGAGGGCGGAAAAACACTTAGACAAATTATCGTCTCTACCAGCAAAGAGTACTGCCCGAGAAGTACTGTATGTCCTGCAGAAATCTCTTCACGTAGAAGACGACCTAACCGCTCCCTCGTAATAAACGTCCCGTGCATCACGACACGACTGCATACACGCATTTCGTATAACTATATTTTTGATACATTTATATGGTTAATTTGTTGCAACTCACTTATTTGATTTGACCAAATCAAGATTGTAAATGTTTTACCACCCCAATTCTTATATTATGTATCTACAATGTTGATTTTTTACTGTATCTGTTATGTGCACACCATAATAAATTGTTTGGTTATCTGTTTACAAGTGTTCTTTATAGATGCAAGCATAACCTAAGTGCAGTTACGCGCAACTTGGAACAAGTATTCTGTGCATAAAATGACAAGAGATGCAACATAATCGAACATTGTGTTTTCATCAGGGCTGTGAAGTCGTGTAAAAATCTATCGACTCCAACTCCGACTCTTCCTTACCATCCGACTCCGACTCCGGCTAAAACACCAAAACTCCACGACTCTGACTCCAACTCCAACTCCGACTCTACAGCCCTGGTTTTCATAACAGAGTTCAACTGTGGGAAAATTTTATGCTGTAATCATAAATGCATTGAGTTATGATACTAATAACAATTAGTAAATACTGGTTAACTTTAAATAAACTACCATCCAAAAACCAAATAAAATGGTAAAAACTCGCATTAGCAACCGTTTTCCTCCATATTAAATAATCATCTTCAGGCTGTTAAACATTCTAAATTTGAATGCCTCGTGCAGTTTAAATTTGTAATCTCAATTCTCAAAATACACGAGCTTATTGATCGGTGGAGTGGGCTTCTTGTAATCTCATAGCCGCACAATTACGAAGAGAAGAGGGTCTTGCAAGTTAACGGGAAAAATCTCTGTGTCCTTGAAATTAATGCCCGAATTTCTCCAGCTTGGCTTTTGGTAATATTGCAGACTGTGCGATTGTAGAAGCTTGGTTCACCAATCAACGAGCCTATATATTTTGAATGAAGGTGTTCCATCTCATGCAGTTTGAATTTATAATGTTGAGTGTTTTCTGTCGGTCGATAAAAAAATTTCCAGTGTGAAAATGCCCGGCAGGGTTACGTAAAAACTGACTTTGGTTCTCCTTCCTACGTGACATGATGTCGTCTCTAGGTTTACGGTGCACAGGAGATTGCCAAGTGGCAATTTTGGCACTACCAGGGCCATCTCCAGTTCTGGTACCATAAAATTGTCGTCAGTCTACAGCAATATTCTGTATTTGGTGCTTCTGTACGAACATAGGCTTACAGGAGTGGCCAAAAGTAGAGCTACACTTGACGCTTTATTGTAGAAACTGTGTATTTTGGGTCGTATCTCATGTTCACTGGTCGTCTGACATATCGTATACCATCACTAGATAAAACATTGAATTTAGAGTCATCGCATCATAACACCCTGGACCATTTTTGGTTGCTCGAAGGGGTGTTCGTGTGCAAACTCTAATCTCAACTTTAGTTTTTTGTAGAGACGAGTGGTTTCTTTGCTGGTTGTCTCCCATGTAATCCAAAACTAGTCAAACGTCTTCAGTCTTTAAGCTGGGTTAAAATAGCATATACAATATGCTCTGTTCAGGGTCAACCCCCCCCCTTTGGTACCATACCTGGTGGGTTTATTTAACCTCTATTTTTGGCTTCTGTTGTTGTGTATATGCTTAGTTTATACTGTCATTGTCATTCATTTTTTAATGATAATATGTTATCAGATATAAGTAGCAAATTTACCTTTATGAAACTAAACTTTTGTAAGTGGGTCTATAGAATTTTTATCAGTTCAATTGTTAATTCTGCTGTACCATTATTTAAAAATAAGAATTAGTCTTATGTTATCAGATATCTCTCTAAATAAACTGAATTCGTTTGGTTATTTTTCTGCTGTATGTATGAGCCTTATCGATGATAAAATGCCCAAAAGTTGCAATTGTCACAAAGTACATTTGTGTCAAGAGACCGTCGGAAAGCTTATCACTTCAGACGTACATAAGCTACCTTAAAACTCTGATCCCTTACTTCTTCCTGCCAATTTCATACTATACTACCCTACATACTTCCAAATCCTTTGACCAATTTGGATCAAATTCCACCTACTCTCCGGTTTCCTATGGGAAACTGCATGCGATATGCTGGTTCCTGTGCTTTTTTTCCTGCAAAATGAGATTAGGTGGTGGTTTGTTTCTTAACATTTTTGAAATAATATAAAAGATGAAACGAAACTTTCTTAAGATTTGTTAAGAAACAAAGATGGCGCCCAGCCTAGACTGCTGGGATCATTGGAGCACGCAGCATCAATTGTGCCATACTTAAATTATTCCATAATCATTTTACTAATTTTTGTGACCTAAACTTGTATTACTACCTCATTTTCCCTCAAGTTTCAGTCATTCCACTGCTAAGAAAGCAGGAGAATCACTGGTCAATGTTAATGGAAATGTAATCATTATTACAGACAAGAGTCCATGCAGTATTAAACTGCTAACGGATGAATAGCTTAAATTAAGAGGTAACAAGTCTTGGTTGTGCACTTACTAAAATTCAGCAGTTTCACAAAAATTAGTTACAAAAACAATAATAATGCTCATAACCGTCGACAACCATTTTATTAAGCCAGTCAATAAGCAAAATTTATTGCTAACAAAGCACTTAGAAATTGGAAACACCTCAAACATCCTGTTGCATTACAAAGCAATACTGTTTGGCGTTATTGTTTCCTAATTTAAATATTGAATTTTCTTAAAGAAGCTACATTTATTCAATTAAATTGTTAACATACAATTAAAATGAAAGTTTAATACTCTTGAATGACAGCCAAACTGGTTTGCTATCACATCAATAACATTTGAGTGCAGCAATCAACTGGCAAATCACTTGAGGTATATCTTGTAACTAAAAGATAACAGTGAAAATGGTTCCACAACCAAAGTTTTGGACCCAGTTTTTAATAATACAAAGATAAACCATCATAATTTTAATGTTGTATTAAAATTTATATTGGTACATCAGAAATGGATGACCTTTCTAACATGCCATGACAGTGTCAATGAAGAGTGGCTAAGTACCACATTTAATGTAAATTCTAATTTGTAAAATATTAAAAACTAAACAATTCTTCCAATATAATGATCCCGACGGCTTGCAGGTGATATAGTGACGTGACCAGGGACTTTGATTACATATACATTAATTTTTAGGCAGCCCAAAGTATGCCGAAAAGAATCTTGAATTCTGCAACCCGACAATTGCAGTTTATTCAAAACATTTGAAAATACTTGCTTTAACATTGCAGTTGAATTGTCCAGTAAGTTAGTACACCAGACACCATATATATATTATACTTTATCTGGTGATAAATTCATTTCTTGTATTAATTAATTAATAGCAATAATTGATAACCTTACGATTTGTGTAGTGCAGTGTTTTTCAACCTGTGGGTCACAAAGCCATACATGGGGGGGATTTGAAGTTAAAAGAAAAAGACAAGTGTTTGTAGGTCCTACACTACAATAAAAAAACTACAATTTCAGTGAGAAGGCTGTGTGTGTTTATTTTACAGTACAATTAGTTTTTTGATCGATATTTAAATCTCAACAGAGAGAAAATTAAATACATAGTTTTTAAAATCACTGACATAGTTTTAATATGGCCGTGAGGGGGTCGCCAGAATTTTTTAACTTGTAAAGGGGTCACGTATTCAAGAAGGTTGAAAACACCGGTCTAGTGAAAAATATTGTAACTTTCTTAATTACTTTAAAGCATGATAAATTAAACATGACTTATCCTATACAATTACCACCAGTATCTTTTCTTAAGTACTTATTGTGTTACTAAACCATAAGCGTGATTTAGAAGTGTAGCAATAATTACAATGAAAATAATTACAAAGATCGAGCCAAATTCTAGCCTGATCTTTCCGGCAATCATTGGTTATTTCATTAATAATTACAATGACATCCAGATGACATTGTTAATAAGGATTCCTATATTCATAACCTGTTATGGTTAATCAACAAGATGATACAGCTTGCGGGTTGTCGACGCAAGTGAAACAACTTCCCTCCCGAAAATACTGCTCTCGGATTTTACAATCCAATCAGATGTGCTCGGTACACATTCTAAAACAAACTTAAGTATGTGTGTTTGGTAGGTTGTACGTTTGGATATTAATTTAAGCATTGGTCCAAGCAGATTGTTTGATGAAAAATTTAATTTTAACAAAGTTGACTAAATGCAATGAATTCATATCTAAGAAACTACATTTTGAGATGATTCTTCAAATTATTTGCAGAAACGAAGTTATCGTTTGTTAAAATACATTATAATATAGCAGACAACTCAAATTTTCTTTATCACAAGCCATTAAATAAAATAAAGTTCTTTACTTCAAGAAAATTTTTTTTTATTTTCGTATTGGATCCGACAAATTTGCTTATTCAAATTTGTCTTTTATTAAGAGTTTAAATTAATTTTTATTATTATCTTCAGAATACAACGTTGACAAAAAACTATAACAAGATTGCACAGCGATATTAACAAGTTGTGAAAAAAATAACTTAGCCAACAAAGTCAACATGAATTGATAATGTTAATTTAATAGATACTTGTATCAAAGAATTACTAACTATAGCTGCTTCTACATATGCCGCTAATTGAACACAGTGACGGAGGAACGTGTACGAAAAAACAAAAAGGACGTACCGCGCCGTCCGAATTCCCGGCGGAGACGCATGGAAAAAGGATACGTGTTCTAGAACGGCAAGCACACGTAGCTCTCAATATGAAATTTTTTTCTCTTAAATGGTAAAATGGCATATGTGCAACTACAATATTTTACAATACGGAAGAAATCATCGTTAACCGGACTTGAAGAGTAAGATGGCAACCTGGCCAAGGTAGAAGTAGATGAAGTGTTTTGTCTCGTGAGTGACATAGCTGCCGAAGTTTCGCCCCACTATGCAGTGCCAGGTGGGGTTGTACTTTTTGTCAAATTCCTTCTTGATGTATGCAGCAATGTCTTTTTCGATGTTGTATTTTTCCAGCGCCTGCGTGGCCGTGTCCACCGCATCCTGCTGCATCTCTTCGGACATGTCTGCATTCTTGATCACTGCCTTGCGGTCACACATCTTGGATACTCCTAATTAAATCTCGGTTGCCTGGAAACAAACAAGTTTGTCAGAAAAGTGAAGTATTTGGGGAAGTAATTTAATACCTGTACAAAAAACAAATTATAAAATTGTAATAAGGTAAAAATAAACAGGCAAAAAACATTCAATGTTATTTTTAATAGCAAATTTCCCAGTTTTTTGGCCTTTCAGGGGATATTTCCATCATTTGTCATAGAAGAAACCAATATCATACATAAAACTTCACTTCTATTAAAACCACACAATTACCAAATTAAATCAGGTTACATTACAACAAATAATTATTAAATCCAAAGTAATTTGATACTAGAGGTAGACATTAAGCACCCATCTCTTATTAAAATTTAATAATTAAACATTTATTAATTTAGAAAATTCTGGAAGAAAAATCTGCCCAGAGTGGAACTTATATCTGCAACTGCTGGTAATCATTTGGCTTCGAGATGTTTATATTTTTCTATTAAAACTTTATTTAAACCTTATCTAGTGCATTTCAGACACTTTACCATTGACTATCTATCATGATGGCTTCAATGTGACAGATTTGTCACTTATAATTTCTTAAAATATAAATTACTTTCAAATTTTTCATATGTTTAATGAGCAGATTAACAATTACAACTAGATTTTTGTTCATAATAGCAAGAACTACAAGAGAATTACTACAAGTACATGTTGTACTAATGGTGTTTATATAACTAACAATTGGAAACCAGTTCTTGTTGCTAAATCCGTACATTGGATATTTGATATAAATCAGCACTATTTATAGCTACAGAGGAAAACATTTGATATCTTTTCTATATAATGAATTCCTATATTCATCTGTTAAATGAATGTACAAGGTATTAAAGTTATTCTAACATTGTTCTACAACAGCCATTCATTGCATTTTGTGACCAGACAAATTACAACAATCATCTTGAGGCATGTGACATTTGTTTTAATTACACAAGAGTTTATATATAAATCTTCCAAAACAATGTTTTAATGCCAAGATTATACTGTATTATTGCAATAATTTCATTCAATATCCAAAATTAAATCATCATTACCCAATTAGATAATCTGGAAATCAAATATATCACAGATAATGCTTATCACAAACATTCAATTTCCTACTTATCCACAAAGCTTTGGATAATCACGCTATACCATATATAACAAAGCAGGTTGTAACGTTCTAACATGGAAAAGAAGAGTTCTGATATTCCACATACAGGACACCCTACGACTGTATGTACAGTACCATGGTTCCCAAATGCACAGATGGGACAGCCTCTGGGTTACACCAAATACAATTGTTGACAGTGTGCATAGAATTTCACAAGAGTGCAAATGCACTAAAATGCTGAGAAGTGGTTGCCACACCAAGCAAATAAAATGCAAAAGTGGATACATTATAAAACATGTAAACTTGGAACAATACAAACAAGGAGACTATGTGAAACAGGTTCATTACCATCAACGAAACTGGCCACAGACCATGCTTAAACACCAGTCCACCAAGTAGCAGCATCAAGAAGCACCAAAGCACAAGTAAATTGATAACATGGGAGTAGAGTTGATTATAAAAAAAAAATATTGCATGCTGTAAAATTAAGATTGCACTTGATTCTTGATTAAGAAATTAAAAGCTCAAGTAAAAAATTAAGAAACAAGGAGGAGAAAGAAAATCCAAGAAAGGAGAAGCCAAAAATAAGTTTACAAAATGAGAAAAGTGAAATAAAGCAAAACAAAAAGTACAAGAAATTATAAATCTATTACATCTTAGTGTTCCTTTACATCTGTCTTAATATTATGTAATAAAATAACATTTTCCTCAAATACAGGAAATGTTTTTCAATTAAATTTTCCCAAATGCACACAAAAACAGAATCAATCAAGATAAACAGGCATTATATAATATCTAGTAAGAATACAGTTCCTACAGATGGAAACAAGATAAAAAAAATAGAACTAAAACTTGCAAAAGTTCAGGTAGAACTTAAATCTTATTTGCATATTTAAGACTTAAAAACTAAAACAATAGAAAACTGTACATACATGAAGAATACACAACCAAAACATCAAAATCTAGCTCATAAAAAGACAGTACTTTAATGACAAAACAAACATTTTCTACAGTTTCCAGCTGCTAGAAAGGACTGCCACCAATCTCAAGGACTCTTTCCTTTCCACCTGGAAATTATTTTTGATATTACCTAACAAATATTATTAATTCTTCTTCTATTGCCATCATCTTATTCTATTTTTCAAACACTGGATTTTGGTATTATGGTTGTTTAATCTTAAATTAAAAACAGATTATATATATATAATTTGATATTCTTGCTGAATACTTTAAATCTCTCCTTGTTTTGACGGAATCTACATGAAAAAAATGGAAGTGAGGAAAAATCAATGCACTCATCAGGTGATTCCGCCCATTTCCTGTTAATAACAAAGGAACGAAGGATTGCTCTTTACTGTAGTTTTACTTAAATTTCTGCTAATGTTAAATCTATCAGCACGTGTACTATATAGTAAATGAATTTAAAATCGTAAAGTATTATATAACATTTAAACATCTTGACAACACGATACCAGATACATCAATGAAAACAATACATAAGTGTGACGCAGCATTAGAAATGTAACTTGTTGACTGAAATCATAAGTTGCACTTATTTAATATGAAATTAAAGCTAGAAAAATGTCTTTGTAACAAGGTTAAGCTTAAGAATCTGAAGTTTTAGAATAATTCAAAGAAAATTCAATAAAAGAATGCAAATTTTCTTGTCATATGATTCTTCATTGCTTCAATATTCAATAGCAATCTTATAATTTAAGCATAAAATGAATGAAAATATAAGCTGAAAAGCAAAATTGCTAACTAATCTACATTATGCAACATTAAACAAGGGATTTACACCGTTAAGTACATCAACACATTTGTTGCCATTTATGCAGGTAAAAATCCCGTAAACATTGCATCAAAAACATGTTTTGTAGAAATAATTTGGAAATAAACCTCGAACAAAAGCTAAGCGACTACATTGCCATTTTTTTTTTTTAAATCAATAAATGCATCACACCTTACATTTTCCCATTAGTAACAACATTACAAAGGTTCACCAACTTTTGGTACAACTTTTATACTTAAATATAAGACAAGTATTAAACGTTTAAGTAGAAAGCGGACAAACGTCGATGCATTACACATTTAGTTGCGTGAAACCACGATTAAAACAGTTACACACACCATTTAAATGATACTTAACCGTTTTTGCTAAAGTTAACACATTTACAAGATGCTGAAACGGAAATCTTCCGTAAAAGTAGGAAAACGTTAGCAAGTCCATCCGCAAACATGCGAAGTCGACGGCTTTAAAATACTAATAAAACACCAGTGGGGAATTTTAAGCAATTTAACACATATTTCTGCCTTTTTTTACATAGTTTAAGTGCACTAATGCACTTACAAATGCATAAACGTTGAATAACGTTAACATTTCCTAACGATAAAACTTATTCCCGCAGCTGCAAGCAAAACACGAAATACCTGCAGTAAACATACTGTAAATATACAGTTTTATATGTTTACGCCATTATATGATGCATTTTAAGCCAGTTAAATGAAATTTAACTGTCTTCACAAGACTCTTAACACTCATACAAGATGCCAAAACAGAAATCCCCCGTAAAAGTAGGAAAATGTTAGCAACTTGCCCGCAAATATGCAACATTGACAGCTTTAACACACATTTCGAGAGGCATTTAAGCATTTCTTCCTACCTTTTTTACCCAGCTTAGTTGCATTTATACCAGTTGACCCCCCTATAACACTGTTGATTATTCCGTTTTATATGAATTCCACGTAGTACGAGTTCACTTAGATTTTACAACTACCTGTGCCGGGCTTTGAACGGTTTACGTATTTGTAAAATCTAAGTGACTCGTACAACATGGAATTCATATAAAACGGAATAATCAACAGTGTTATAGGGGGGGTCGACTGTACTCAGAAGATGCAAGGAATACTAATATTTTCCTGCTGATAATAAAGCATAAACAATAACAAAATACTTTCACAGCTTATTAAAGAAGTTTATATGCATATATACTGTAAATTTACAGGTGTATAACGTGTTTACGTCATCAAATAACACATTGAATGACGTTTAATTATCTTGACGCGGCCCTACACCATTTTACACGGGGTTTTTTATAGGTGTACTTGACATCTGCCACATTTTCTCGTATATTTCTCGAGGAATTTATTATTCGAGCACACGTACACCTCGGTGACACGATTTACCTTCGATTTACTTAGAATTAACCCGAAATAATTGGATTTTTATGAAAAATTCCCGACTTATAACAACGCAGACGTCAGAGACGCTAATAGCAGACGATAGTGTCTGTTGGCTTCTAAGCGTTTTTGTGGTTAATTATCGAGCGACTCACCTTTAATTTCTAGATAATTGCCGTTATCTTTGCTTTGTGGTTGCCTTCTATGCCGATGGAAGCGACAAACACTCGCAGATTGTAGATAACTCGAATGCAGCAGATTCAAAATGATGTCGTCTGCTGATGCTAGGAGCGTCCACCCGTTTGATTGGGAAACCGACGTCACAGCCGTCTAATTGGTCGATATTATCAGAACCTTTCCGTTCTATTGGTTAATTCTACTAACCTCTGGCTAACGTCACGGCAATTCGTTGATCTGATTAGTCAATTGCGCTTACTTCTGGCAGACGTTCTGTCTTCCCACAATCCATTTGGCGAGTTGTCTGATGGAGGGGAAATTTCCCTGCATCGATTTCGTTTTTAATAAAGTAAGAGTAAATTTAATATATTTTTCTCTATGTTTAATAAAACTTATGTTTTAATTTCTTTACGTAAAATAAAATTTTTGTGTAAAGTTGTCGAGTTTAATTTTTTATTATAGAGTAAATTTCTGAAACACTCGTTCACGCTCGTTTATATTAACTGACTGATAAAATAT